CCAATCATCTTCAGGACAGGGTGCTCTTTTGACACATCGGCTTTCCTTGCAATGACTTGATAGACACCTTACAATTTGCCACAACCAGCGTGGACAGCCCTGGGTCTTGTCACTGGGAGGCTGAGATGGAATCGTTCGTTGTAAGAGATTCCGACGACGAAGCGCAAAGTGGATGCATTTCAGTGAATTTCTTCCAGGTTTAGCTCCAGAGGTGGCGACGGGCCAGATGATTTTGCACGAGCGGGGTGGAGCAGGGTGGAGCGGGTGAACATTTTTCATGTACATACAATAGTATGCAGAGACGTGACATGTGTCAATATTTAAGAATGTCTATACTCTGGCACTGACTTCACAGGAAGATACAGGAAGCAAACACTCTTTGCAAAAACCGCACCCTGTTGCGCCTATTGCAGCAATCCAGCTGAAAAGAGACGTAAACCAGAAAGACGTGCTGTTACGAAAGCCAGCCAAAGCTGAGCGAAGTTTTTCCATGCGAACGAAGTAAGATTAGGGGGTGTGGGGGATAGGGGTTGACGTGTGGTCGGCCAATACTTCAGGTTGCTGGGCAGTAGGGTGTGTTTTTTGTCCGTTTTACCCTGTTATGTACCATGCGGCAAATGGGAGACGGTGGGTATCGATTCCCCCCTGGTCCGCTCGGTTGGGGTCTGGGTTTGAGGGGGTTGCACAGTTCTATAGGCCGGTTTTGGGAGAGGGTACTTCATCGGACAGGGAGATTGAATTGATTGCAGTTGGCGGTGCGAGACGGTGCAGAACATGTTTTGTGACTGGCTTAGCTCAGCATGATAAGCATGTGTGTGGGTTTGAGGGGGTTGCGCAGTTCTATAGGCCGGTCTTGGGAGACGGTGAGTGTCGAGGTGGAGTGTACTTCATCGGATAGGGAGGTTGGATTGAGCGCAGTCGACGGTGCAGAACTCGACGGTGCAGAATATGTGTTTTGAATGGCTTGGCAGAGCATGATGGGAAGTTTCAATTATCAATGCAGCATATGGTTTGTGAAAGGTTGGTGCGTAGGTGTCCTTTTTTGTAGAGCGTGGTTTAGATGGAAGTGTGTTTGTGGGAGTTGGGAGGCGGGAGGCCGGTGCACCTTATTGCATAGCATGAATCTGTGGGCAGATATGTGTGGGTTCGTTTACAAAGCATTTCAACCTGCGGAGCGTAATAGGATGTAATAGGGCCATGGTGTCTATGTCAAATAGATGGTTTGATGCGTTGTAATACGCCCCATTGGAAAGGGTGCTTGTGGGGGTGGGTGTGTCTCCAAGAGTTTCGACATGCGGGCGGGTGTATCCTCAAGGGTTTCGACCTGCAGGCGCTTACCGAAAGTTTTGAGGTGCAATGTGTGTGCTGTGACAACGGAAGGACAGACCCCATTGGAAAGGATGTGTTTGGTTGTGGGTGTGTCTCCAAAAGTTTTGACATTCTGTGCAAGCTAACATGTGGTGTGTGGCGTTCTATATGCCGGGTTTGAGGGGTTTTACAGTTCTTTGGAGAGCGTGAATTTGGAGGTGGAGTGTACTTCATCGGATAGGGAGGTTGGATTGAGCGCAGTCGACGGTGCAGAACTCGACGGTGCAGAATATGTGTTTTGAATGGCTTGGCAGAGCATGATGGGAAGTTTCAATTATCAATGCAGCATATGGTTTGTGAAAGGTTGGTGCGTAGGTGTCCTTTTTTGGTTTAGATGGGAGTGTGTTTGTGGGAGTTGGGAGGCGGGAGGCCGGTGCACCTTTTTGCATAGCATGAATCTGTGGGCAGATATGTGTGGGTTCGTTTACAAAGCATTTCAACCTGCGGAGCGTAATAGGATGTAATAGGGCCATGGTGTCTATGTCAAATAGATGGTTTGATGCGTTGTAATACGCCCCATTGGAAAGGGTGCTTGTGGGGGTGGGTGTGTCTCCAAGAGTTTCGACATGCGGGCGGGTGTATCCTCAAGGGTTTCGACCTGCAGGCGCTTACCGAAAGTTTTGAGGTGCAATGTGTGTGCTGTGACAACGGAAGGATAGACCCCATTGGAAAGGATGTGTTTGGTTGTGGGTGTGTCTCCAAAAGTTTTGACATTCTGTGCAAGCTAACATGTGGTGTGTGGCGTTCTATATGCCGGGTTTGAGGGGTTTTACAGTTCTTTGGAGAGCGTGAATTTGGAGGTGGAGTGTACTTCATCGGATAGGGAGGTTGGATTGAGCGCAGTCGACGGTGCAGAACTCGACGGTGCAGAATATGTGTTTTGAATGGTTTGGCAGAGCATGATGGGAAGTTTCAATTATCAATGCAGCATATGGTTTGTGAAAGGTTGGTGCGTAGGTGTCCTTTTTTGGTTTAGATGGGAGTGTGTTTGTGGGAGTTGGGAGGCGGGAGGCCGGTGCACCTTATTGCATAGCATGAATCTGTGGGCAGATATGTGTGGGTTCGTTTACAAAGCATTTCAACCTGCGGAGCGTAATAGGATGTAATAGGGCCATGGTGTCTATGTCAAATAGATGGTTTGATGCGTTGTAATACGCCCCATTGGAAAGGGTGCTTGTGGGGGTGGGTGTGTCTCCAAGAGTTTCGACATGCGGGCGGGTGTATCCTCAAGGGTTTCGACCTGCAGGCGCTTACCGAAAGTTTTGAGGTGCAATGTGTGTGCTGTGACAACGGAAGGACAGACCCCATTGGAAAGGATGTGTTTGGTTGTGGGTGTGTCTCCAAAAGTTTTGACATTCTGTGCAAGCTAACATGTGGTGTGTGGCGTTCTATATGCCGGGTTTGAGGGGTTTTACAGTTCTTTGGAGAGCGTGAATTTGGAGGTGGAGTGTACTTCATCGGATAGGGAGGTTGGATTGAGCGCAGTCGACGGTGCAGAACTCGACGGTGCAGAATATGTGTTTTGAATGGTTTGGCAGAGCATGATGGGAAGTTTCAATTATCAATGCAGCATATGGTTTGTGAAAGGTTGGTGCGTAGGTGTCCTTTTTTGTAGAGCGTGGTTTAGATGGGAGTGTGTTTGTGGGAGTTGGGAGGCGGGAGGCCGGTGCACCTTATTGCATAGCATGAATCTGTGGGCAGATATGTGTGGGTTCGTTTACAAAGCATTTCAACCTGCGGAGCGTAATAGGATGTAATAGGGCCATGGTGTCTATGTCAAATAGATGGTTTGATGCGTTGTAATACGCCCCATTGGAAAGGGTGCTTGTGGGGGTGGGTGTGTCTCCAAGAGTTTCGACATGCGGGCGGGTGTATCCTCAAGGGTTTCGATCTACCAACCGACCGCTCAATCCATCCATCCACCATTGATCGCTTTATCTCTCCATTTTTCCATTTTTCCATCTCTCTAGCTCTCCATTTGTATCCATTTGTATATTTATCTGGTTATCTACGTAATGATCTGTCTGTGTCTGTCTATCTATCTATCGATCGATCGATCTATTCATCGATGTATCTATTTAGCTATCTATCTATCTATGTATCTATCTATCTATCCATCCATCCATCCATCCGTCCCTCCCTCGATCCATTTATTGATCTATGGATCTATGTGCCAATCTTTAATCTATCCATCTATCCATCCAGCTGTCTACCATCCAGTCAATTCTTCTGCAAAAATCAGATTGCATTCTTCAAACCAGCCCTTGTTGGGCGGAGAAACCCTTGTTTTTGCCGTCGCAGGGCATGTCGCTTGAGACTGGCACAACATGATTTTGATGCAGTGTGGACTTATGATAGTATTATTGATATTATTGCTCGTCGTTAGGACAGAGAATATGGCATACATACTAAATTCACATGTCGATCATGTCGTACCAAGTATACTATACATTTTGTTTGTCCGTAGGCTTGTAGATATCCATGTGGGTAAAAAGGTCAATAGGCAGGTGAAGAAAATGCTTGCCGCTGGCTTTCGTTCCTACCTTCTCAGGTAAGGAGGTGTGTAAGCTCAAGATGCTTAAGGATAGCTCATATACATTTTCCCTTTGGTTTCAAACTTTCAAACTGAAGAGTTGTTAGTCAGACAGCATGGACAACACAGCTGAGGAGGAGAACTTCTATATGACCTTGCGGGCTCTCATGGTGAGAGCATCATGGTGCACAGACACCTCCAACTCGCTCCAAACAGTTTCACTTTCACCAAAGCTTTGCCGCATAATGGTGGCCAGCTGCATTGCCGCATGGTGGCCAGCTGGAGCTGGCTCCTTTAAGAGTTGACAACATTTCTACAGATCATCTGAATCCTTCTTTTTGCGGGGTATGTGACAGCCATTAAGCGCATCTATACATATGGGCACCAATCATACAGTGGAATGACTTGAAGACCTAAACTCGTCTTGTTACCTGTGCTTGCTTCGTTGACCTGATTCCAAGTGCTTCCGCAAAATCTCCACATTTTGAAGAGATCTGAGATGGATTTCCGTTCAGGCAAGCGCTGCTCGATTGCCAGTGTGCAGCCGGCGGAAGCGTTCATTTGCAGTAATTTAAACAAAAGCGAGCCGTGGTGACGTGGTGTGCTTAAGGCAGATGTAAAGACGCACTCGGCTGCCACATTCAAGGTGGGCCTGAGAGGTTGCAAGCTTGCCGTGAGCTATTAAATATTATTAAATATATTAATTGCATTGAATGCGACTGATTTGAAGGCCACCCTCTCCGACAGAGACTTGCACTCTGAAATCTCCAAGATTCCGCTTAAAGCGGAAACCGTACAATCCAGGATCGTTGCAAACCTCTAGCATTGCTGCATAGGATCCTTTGAGAAAAAGACATCTGAAGGCCTTGGTCCAGGAAGGTGCCGATCCTTCGCCTACACTGTCTGCGCTGCTGACTGCACATCTTCCCTCGCATTTTTTTCCGTCTGTTCCACCTTCAGCAGTCATGAGGGAGTCTTCGGAAACATCCTGGCGCCTGGCCTATGCTCAAGCAGATAGCTGCTTCCTCTTTTGTACAGATTGATCTGATTGCGCTGATAATTTTGACCTGCATTCAGGAGCATTCAGGAGCGTTCAGCCATGTGGCGCCTTCTTCTTGCTACCTCAGTGATGGCTGAACCGGAGAGCAGAAGGTGGAGTCGTAGTTTCGCTTTGCAATTTTTCTCAATTCTTGTTGCACGTCACTGCAGAGTTTGCAGATGTGGGATATTTTGATATATTTTGGCCATACAGGAAAGCCGTCACCGATCAACCGATTCCAGGTTCCTTCAGAGGCGCGCCGAGGATTCAACGCCAACATGTGGTGGCATCGAGCTGGAACCAAATGACCTTTGCCGAGACACTGTCCTTTGGGCAGCAGGCGGTGGAAAGTGGCGTGGTTGCACTGGCTGCACTGTGGTTCCATTGGAGGTATCATCCTTCAGAAATTTCAGGATTGGGATGAAATGAGATGAGATGGGATGAGACTTAAATGCATTTATATATATATATATACATACATACATATATCACATATATATATATATATTATACACGTAATGTTATTTACTATATATATATGTATATTGCTATAATATGTTATATGCAATTCGATACAGCCGATAGCGAACCAAAACAGAAAGCATTGAAAGCATCATAAAGCCATGCGACGCCCGACCAAGATGGGATGCACGCGCAGTCGACTGGTTCAAAAACTTTGAGAGCAACTTGGCAGACTTGGCCACGGCCGCAGGTGAATGGGCCGTGGGCCAAAGGCTACAAGCGGGTAGAAAATCAAAGCGGCTAAGCGGGAAATGCAGCATATATCTTCCCACTCCCAAGATTCAGAATCAGCAGAACAGCATAGCGCTGCCGACTCTGCACAACATACAATGTAATATAACGATATATACCGTACTATCATAAACTATATGCGATTGTATACTGTATCTTCAACATGCCAATTCCTTCTCCATCCGTTTTCCTTCATGTTGATTCATGGTGCTTTACGACACAGGGGAGTTTATCTGATTATCTTGATGCACAGGCATTGCCGGCGTACCAATTGGGTCTGGCAACGTTGCTGACTACCAGCGGCTCTACTGGTGTGCTCCACCAGGTGGCAAATATTGCGGCTTGCCACCATGCTCAGGCACTTCAGAGAACCTTGCGACACCTTTTTCTTCATGTTGCTTCGTTGTCTTGACCTTTGGAATCACTCTTACTGTAGAGCACAGTAGGGTCATTCAAGGTCAACGCAAGCCAGATCATAGAATAAGTGAACATAAGCAAGTAGTGAACTATGGCAAGAAGAGGGCAATGTTCTGGAGATGTGGTCGCAGCATGTCGCAGCGTATATGTACAGTACATAGTTGTATGTATACTGTATACTGATATTGAAGGATCTTAAGGTAAGCGTGTGCCATGCCACAATTAGTATGTGATGTCAGTGATGCCCATTACTTGGCAGGTTGTAGCAGCCCTCCGTGCGATGACTGCTTTGCCGGGAAACCTCTAGTCGCGAACCTACGACCAGGCTGCGAAGCCAATGACACGAGCATCGGGTGCATCCCACCAGAGACTACCATGGGTTACAAAGGACAGCATTGGCCCACAACATACATCGATGGCACACAGGAGATGCACATTTTTTTGATTGGGGATTGGGGTGGCCTAGACGGAAGTCTTGATACAAACCAGGGCCGGCCAGAGTTGATTGCGTACAACTGGGGCCGGCAGCCTGGGCCCAGTGTCTTTCCACGCAGCCGCTGGAACAAGAGACACACGGAACAGCTTTGCAGCCATAAGGAGTTTGTGGAATGTTTCAACACTTTTGGCGAAGCGCCTTGTATACCAGAATGTGGTTTTGTGATGGGAGTGGACGACAAGCCACAGCTATTGGTGGCTGAAGCATTCAAGGCGCGTGCGGCCTTGAAAGATCCACAGCATCTTGACTTGTTTGATGAAGCACTGGGTCACTCGGGGGGCTTCAAGGCCTTGTTTGAAATTGGAGGGAGCTGTGCTCAGGTATATTCTGAATGTGGGGGACAACTTCTATTGGGGAGGCATCGAGAAAACCTGTGGCTTTCCGATGACTCTAAGTTGCAAGAAGAGCAGTGCCCTCGGGCCTGAAGGGGAGCTTGGGATGGGCTAGCGTGGAATGAGTTTCAGTGGTGCTTTCACTGTCAGCCAAACAACCGCCCGAGGAACATGTTGTCATACCCAGCAAAGCACCAATTCGATGAGATTTTTGAAGGAATTTATCAAGGACCCGGCCTGAGCCTCTTGACTGTAAATTTGAACCGATACTGGTAAGCTGGTAGTTTGGATGCGACCGGGAGAGCTAGGGGGAGGTGTACGAGATATTTTCCCGCCAAGTTTGCGTTGCCTTTCCACATCTTTCCACCACCTGCCTTGAAAGGTGGCAAGCCATGGTTTGGTGTGCTGGGAAATCATGACTGGGGTGGATTCCGATTCGACAATGGTCCGAGCCTCAAGTTCTCAGCATTCCTGAGCCTTCTCACTCTAATTACTGAAACCTTTGCAAGAGATCTAATCTAAGAATCTAATTTTCTTACGCAAGTTGTGCAGAAACAAGACTGGGCTCCACTCTGCTGGCACGTTGTCTCATCGATGGGTGTCGTTGTAGTCCAATGCTCTACGCAATGGGCCAGTGTCTATCTCTGCGGAGACCAGGCTGGGACCAGCAAATGTCCTACACCTGGTTTAGCGATCGATGGGTATTGCCCGCTGTGTACTACAAAACCTCAATGGTTTACAAGGACTGCAAGGGTATGTCGTGGAATGCCAGCTATTGTCATCATGGCTGTCAAAGAATTGCACGATGTTTGTTTGTTCTTTGAAATGCTGCTCACGGACGTTGTGTTTGTAAAGGCAATCCGATCTACATTTCTGCCGTGCATATCCAGCATACCAACGAAGACATTCATGCACAGACACACAGATTCGTAGACAACATACTTACACATACACATGTAAACGCACACACACACACATTTGGTAGTGCCAGAATCAGGACATATCAGGACTTGGGAAGCTTAGTTCTGGCATCCAACTTCCGCTTTGCATAGCGAACACTGCTCTGAGGATCTTGGCTTTGACGTGGACATCTACTTCCTGGACACCAATTTTCTGGATGCTAAGCCACCAGAGGAGGACTACTGGAGCCACAGTTGATGTCAACCAGTGTAACCGCCGTGGACTTTGCGTCATTTTGCTTTGCCCCCCGGCTCCACTCAGATTAGTTACTGTAATTCGTCCGTTAACTTACGTTAACCCTTGTGTATCTTGTGTGATATGGGGAGCATTCAACTTTGACCAATTCAGTTGAGCCACCGTGAGCCACCGAATTCAGAATCATTTTTCCTGGCACCAGGATCCAAGTCACAACATGTGCAGCTCAAAGAACAACAAGCCCAGCGCAACCTGCTCAGCTGCTGGTGGGCCCGAATCTATCGAGTCATGTCCTGCCTGGTTTGCAAGCCTCTGGAAAGAGCAAAAAGCACCTTAGTCGCACACCTTACATCGACTTGTATCCAGGAGGAATCCACCTGCCAACATCATACCACAATATACCATAGACATCCATAGACATGCATAGACATCCATAGACATCCATAGACATCCATAGACATCCATAGACACAGTACTATGACGTACTAGAGCGCTGCTGATACGTTTTTCATTCTTATGCATGATTATATATGGTTGATTCTGCCGAATCTGCTCATGTGTTCTGATATCTCATTTGATGCCTTGCAATATATCCTTGCAAAAACATGGCCCAATTTGCGCCATCTTAGAAGTGGATCGGGGACTTGCTGCCCAAGTCTACTGCTACGTGGCAGTTCGTTGTGACGCACTTCCCTTGTGGAGTCTTGTCAGGGAATACTTCGCACTTGACTCAACACAAAGTCCGCGCAGTACACTCACAAGAGATGGCGAATGAAAAACTGTGCCAGCTAAAATCAAGAAACCCTCAATACGACATGAAATGAAGATGGCCAACGCAAGTTCGGAGAATCAAATCTCAATGAGCCATCTTCTTCTGAGAGCCTTGCTCTCCAAGGACACGAGCAGCAATTCTACCGAAGGTTGAGGAGGAAGGGACTGGACCTGCTAATCACAGGTGGGGCCCCATGGTTGAATGTATTGAAATGTATTGAAATATGTTGTAACATGTTGTAACATGTTGTAACGCTGTAGTCCACGTTTGCAGAACAAGACAGAAAGAGCATGAAAGGGTGCCACGATGAGAGTTGCAGAACAAGACTCCGCCTGAACACGACGCGTAGCATCGCGTAGCATCGCGTAGCATCGCGTAGCATCGCGTAGCATCGCGTAGCATCGCGTAGCATCGCGTAGCATCACGTAGCATCACGTAGCAAGACCAAACAAAGGCCACCGCCAGGTCACCGCCATGATCAAGAGCTTTGGCGAGAAGATGATTATCATAAGAACCACATGGGCGTAGCATGTATCGTCACTGGTGGTGGAGGTGGCATCACCTCTGAGGCTTGGTCACAGTATGTCACAGTATGTCACAGTCAAAGTATGTCAAATTGCGTCAACCATGGTCAGCCCAGATCCTCGCAGTGCCTTTAAGCCTTTCCCGCTTTCCCTTTTGAATACTTCGGATCTCTTGAATACTGTGTGGTTGGACCTTGGTCATTATTGGACACCTGCATGAGGCAACACCCAATCCAAACAACACCATCGATTGGTATGGTGAAGGCCAGTATGGCTTCTACGACCTCACAATCAGCAAGACTGAGATTTTGATCGAGTCCATCAACTACAACGGTGAGCTCCTGCTGACCCATAAGGTATATCCCAAGTGAGCGCTGTCATGTACAGAGGAATGGACAAACAAGATGGTGACTCGACATTTATCAGCATTTGCATTTGGCCTCCTGCAGAAGGCAGCGGGCCGCAGTGAATTCATTCTTGACTGTGGGGAGGGACACTGGTCGACTCTACTGTGACGGATTGTGTCTTCTCGCGGATCTAGTGCAGAACCCCCCATAGTGGCGGCAGTTCTGTTCGTTTGAATTTAGTCCTGCACACAGCTGCAGGGCAATGACTTTTGTGCAGAGAGGAGGGCTCGCAACAAGCCCGCCGAGAATCTCACCCTTGATTAAACCACGTGCTGAAGCAAAACAACTTGACAATCGTTGACAATCAACATCTTGATGTTGACCATTGTTTCCTTCATACATATTTCTTCGGACCTGTGTGTTTTTCAAACAAAGGGTTTATTTTGGCTTCGCTTTGTGGTGCTTTGCAGGTCATATCTTCCTTCTTGGGCTGGGCCGGAAGCTCCGAGGTGGCAAGATGCAAAGCTACGCCACGTGCTCAGCTGGGCTTGTGGCAGCTCGAGGCGACGACAGGACGGAGGTCGGGAACCGCACGGTGGATCATGGTGGATATGTTTTGAATTTTTGATATGTTTTGATAATTTTTGATATGTGTTCTCCTGTTTTAACATGTTTTCACATGTTTGCAACTGCGGGAATCAGTGAAAATCTGTATGCCGATGCATTTACTCAGGCCAAACTGGTTGTGGGAGGATCGTCTCTCTGGATCTTGCCAAGGTGCGGTTGCATTGAGCCAATTGCATTCATCAGTCTTCAGGCTTGGATAAGCAAAAAAGAATGAGCGAGAGAGAGGGAGAAAACATAGCCATGGCAGGTTCTCTAACCCTCTTCCAGCCCCTTGAGCCTTGCTGTAGCTGCCTAGTAAGCCTTAGGAATTTGTAGTAAATCCATGTAAATCCTCAACTTAGTTTTCCAAAGCTTGATTCCGTATTGTAGTTGGCAGGCTGTGGGAAACGCAAGTTCGGACTGCCGCCGGTCTTGCCACCAACAGCCTCGGTTCTCCGTTAGATGGAGATGTTTCTGATGCATCTGACTATGATGACAGCATGATTTTGATGAAGGTGATGCTCATCATACGAATGATCATCCATCACCGTTGTGTCCCTTTTGGATCATTGTTGATCCAAATTGGCACCCATTGGCGAGTCTTGACACAATTCACATCTGAGGCTGTTTGCAGTGAGCTTCTGACCTATCCCCAGTGCCACTACATTTTTTTAATAAAAATATTATATAAACAGGTCAAGGCAAAATACAATTACGGGAAAGTGTTTGAGTCAGTTTGACCAACATGACCCCATGACTTGCTGCAACACGAATGAAACAGATGCGAGAATTCGAGGCAAAAAGGTGTCTAGTGCTTGCACAAGAAGCCCAAACTTCTCAATATAGTGCAACTCTGCTTCCTGTGTTCGGTTTACATTTTGGCATTGCAAGTGCTGAAAATACAGTCTCTACCAGCCATTTTGAGTTGGTTCCGAGAGAGTAGCGACCGAAAAAAACATGCGCACGCACACACACACACAAATTGCATACAAACACGCCACGCTTGGTCCCCATAACAAACAGTTTTTGCGATTTGGTCCTTGTTGGGGCTTTCTCGGTAAAATGCCAAGAGAGGCTGCAAGTGCACATAAGACATAGAACTGAACCCTTTTGCCCACCCTTTGTGGTGCTTTGGTTCATGTGCCATGCTGCAACCCTCAGACCAACTTCGCTCCAGGCACTCTTGCTTGAAAGTTTGTTCCAGCATTGTGTGGGCCAATAAGGATCTCAAGTGATCTCATGTCTTTGAATGGACGGTGGCTGGATTTGCAAGCATAGTGCTTGTGTCAGGGTAGCCTCAAGGACGCAACCAAGGGCATCGTGCAACATGGGTGCCAGACTTGACGTGGGCATGTTGTTTCTCATACTTAGTTGTTTTATCAAGTTGGTCACAAATTGAACCCAGGGGCCAAGATGCGCTCAGACCATCCCAGCCTCCCAAATCAATGCAGAATCCAATTTGATGGTAGTTGGGTTGTTTGATAGGGTGGTATTCAGATGCATTTAGTGGTATTGGGTGCTTTTTGAAGTCAGCAAGCCTGATGCCACAGACAGCCGCAGCGAACATGTTGTTTGTCTTTGTGCTGTCTTTGGGTTTTTCCAGGCGTTCTGGGCGTTGGGGTGAAGTTCTAGCAGCATGGGAGCTTTGTCGTCACGACCAGAGGGACTCACTACCAGATGACAAGCCGACTGTGTCAATGTTGTTGACAAGAACAGACTGTATCGTGACTGATTCACGTGCTACAGGCAGTCCTCAAAAAACGGCTCCAAGCACCCACTGTATGACAAGACAAAGTCATCGTTCCGACCCTTTCAGCTATTCCACTGAGGTTGCACCAGCAATTTGGAGCCAGATGTTCGAGCAAAACGCTGAGTTTGTTTCAGTGATACAATGTGATGCTCATCTTCTGAGAGGTCCCGCCTGTTTCGCCAAAGTGGTAGTGGCGGTACATGGCAGTGCTGTCCCTGCAGGTATGCAATGCAGCCGTTGCTGGGTGCTGATCTCAGATTTGTGAACTGTGGCGACTCTTGACCCACTTGTTGGAGGTCCTCCATAGTATATTGGCAAGCGCAAGCGATGCCAAGATTACTTTCACCTGTGCTGTGATTTCATAGAACTATGCCGCCTCCTTTAGCTAGTGCAGGCGTATACTAAAGTGAATAACACTAAATGTGCAGATTGTGCAGGTGCTTGATATTTTGCATTATTTTGCTGAAGGTGTGCCCGTCCAGGCTCTTGGCAACAAGCAGCAGGGGCCCCAAGATGCCCCCAACTAGATTCATGAGGATTCATGTATCTCATGCTGCTTGGCAAAAAAGCAGAGACAGTCCTGGTCCTTCTCAGGTTGAACTGCTTGACGAGGCCGAAACCCTGCACCTGAAGACAGATGCTGCACGCTCAGTTGAAGGTCTAATTGAGGTCTATAGCCTTACAAGGATGGCGATGGAGCGAGAGAAGGAGAGAGAGAGAGAGAGAGAGAGCGAGCGAGCCTCGCAAGGATCAAAGCCTAGACTGGCATCGTTGATCATATACTCTGGTGTTGACTGGCTTTGGAGGATTTTTGTTTTGAAGTTCGCGCTGTACAATCGATCCATTGGCAGTTGACAGCCGGGCATGGCAGGGTTTCTGTTGAAGTTGGACCCCTACAGGCCCTACAGGGTACACAAGACTTTCCTCAGCATGTGACATATCAAAATTTCACCAGGCTGTCACTCTTGCTTCACTGCTCCGTGGCTGGCGTGAAGGCCCCAATCTGTGTATGCCCCACAAGTCGCTTGCACTTGTCTCTAAGTGACGGGCTAGGACTCTTGTGTGCAAAATGTGCACAAGTCACATGAAATGTGCTGCCAGGAAGAGAGTGGGCCAGAGCCTAGATGATCACAGTGTCAGTTCGCAGACACTTACAGCATTTTCAATAGTCTCAGAACAACTCAGAACAAATCAAAAACATTCAAAACAACTCAAAACAACTCAAAACAATTCAAACAACTCAAAACAATTCAAAACAACTCAAAACAACTCAAAACAACTCAAAACAATTCAAAACAACTCAAAACAACTCAAAACAACTCAAAACCATCTATCTATCGATCTATCTATCTATCTATCTATCTATCTATCTATATCTATCTATATCTATCTATCATTATCTATCATTATCTATCATTATCTATCATTATCTATCATTATCTATCATTATCTATCATTATCTATCATCTATCTATCACTATCTATCTATCTATCTATCTATCTATCTATCTATCTATCATTATCTATCATTATCTATCATTATCTATCATTATCTATCATTATCTATCATTATCTTATCATTATCTATCATTATCTATCTGTCATTATCTATCATTATCTATCATTATCTATCATTATCTATCATTATCTATCATTATCTATCATTATCTATCATTATCTATCATTATCTATCATTACATTATCTATCATTATCTATCATTATCTATCATTATCTATCATTATCTATCATTATCTATCATTATCTATCATTATCTATCATTATCTATCATTATCTATCATTATCTATCATTATCTATCATTACCTATCATTATCTATCATTATCTATCATTATCTATCATTATCTATCATTATCTATCATTATCTATCATTATCTATCATTATCTATCATTATCTATCATTACCTATCATTATCTATCATTATCTATCTATCATTATCTATCTATCATTATCTATCAATCATTATCTATCATTATCTATCATTATTTATCTATCATTATCTATCTATCATTATCTATCTATCATTATCTATCTATCATTATCTATCTATCATTATCTATCTATCATTATATATCTATCATTATCTATCTATCATTATCTATCTATCATTATCTATCTATCATTATCTATCTATCATTATCTAGCTATCATTATCTATCTATCATTATCTATCTATCATTATCTATCTATCATTATCTATCTATCATTATCTATCAATCATTATCTATCATTATCTACCATTATTTATCTATCATTATCTATCTATCATTATCTATCTATCATTATCTATCTATCATTATCTATCTATCATTATCTATCTATCATTATCTAGCTATCATTATCTATCTATCATTATCTATCTATCATTATCTATCTATCATTATCTATCTATCATTATCTATCTATCATTATCTATCTATCATTATCTATATATCATTATCTATCTATCATTATCTATCTATCATTATCTATCTATCATTATCTATCTATCATTATCTATCTATCATTATCTATCATTATCTATCATTATCTATCATTATCTATCATTATCTATCTATCATTATCTATCTATCATTATCTATCTATCTGTCTATCTATCTATCTGTCTATCTATCTATCTATCTATCTATCTCTCTCTCTCTATCTATCTATCTATCTCTCTATCTCTCTCTATCTCTCTATCTCTGTCAACTATCTCTGTCTACTATCTCTGTCTATCTCTCTCTATCTCTGTCTATCTCTGTCTATCTCTGTCTATCTCTGTCTATCTCTGTCTATCTCTGTCTATCTCTGTCTATCTCTGTCTATCTCTGTCTACTATCTCTGTCTACTATCTCTGTCTACTATCTCTTTCTCTGTCTATCTCTGTCTATCTCTGTCTATCTCTGTCTATCTCTGTCTATCTCTGTCTTTTCTGTCTATCTCTGTCTATCTCTCTCTATCTCTGTCTATCTCTGTCTATCTCTCTCTATCTCTGTCTATCTCTGTCTATCTCTGTCTATCTCTGTCTATCTCTGTCTATCTCTGTCTATCTCTGTCTATCTCTGTCTATCTCTGTCTATCTCTCTATCTATCTAATCTATCTAATCTATTCTAATCTATCTAATCTATGCTATGCTATGCTTTGCTATGCTATGCTTTGCTATGCTATCTATGCTATCCATTGTATCTATTGTATCTATGTTTTCTATTGCATCTATGCTATCTATGCTATCTATCCTATTTGCCCTATCTATCCTATCTATCCTATCTATTCTGTCTATCCTATCTATCTAACCTTTCAAAGCTATCTAATCTATCTGATCTATCTGATCTACCTGATCAATCTGATCTGTTTGATCTATCTGATCTATCTGATCTATCTGGTCTACCTGATCTATTTGATCTATCTGATCTAATCTATCTAATCTATCTAATCTATCTAATCTATCTAATCTATCTAATCTATCTAATCTATCTAATCTATCTAATCTATCTAATCTGATCGATCTTTTATCTAGTCTATCTAATCTGATCGATCTTTTATCTAATCTATCTAATCAATCTAATCAATCTAATCTATCTAATCAAGTCTAATCAAGTCCAATCAAGTCTAATCAAGTCTAATCAAGTCCAATCAAGTCTAATCAAGTCTAATCAATTCCAATCAATTCTAATCAATTCTAATCAGGTTGATGTAGATGATGTAGACATTGTGGAGTAGATGACGTACATGTGATGTGGATGAAGTCGATATAGATGATGTAGAGGATGTATGTGATGTAGACATTGGTGATGTGGATGTAGGAGGTGCAGGTGATATATGTCATGTAGATGAAATTGATGTAGATGATGTAAGTGATGTAAGACATGTAGGAGATTTTGTAAAGATGAAATGAACAGTTGAATTTGGCAGCAGTTCTTTCGAAAAAACAATTCGCAAGAACTGTTGGGAATATGTATATATACGTATATATATAATTTATATAAACAAACAAACAAACAAACAAACAAACAAACAAACAAACAAACAAACAAACAAACAAACAAATAATAATAATAAAAAATAAATAAATAAATAAATAAATAAATATATATACATACATAGATGCATAGATATTATATATATATATATACATATATATATATAAATACAATATTATACAATACACACACACGCACACACACACACATATATATATATTATTTCACTCTGCGAAAACTCCTGCCAATCTTCAATGCGTAACGCGGACTGAACATCTTAGACTGATGTATGCTCCTTGCCGATGACTTTCTGAGGGCAAGGCATTTGCAGTCTTCGAAGAGGCTGGCAAGAGGGCAGTTAAAGATACATAGACAGCCATGAAGACACCGAACGACGTAAGAACATGCAATGGCCTGCACCCGAGAGAGAGAGAGAGAGGTCAAGAAAGGCGGAAATTAGGGTTGATATATGTCTTGTTCCAGGCGGCTGGCTCTGGAATCCCTGCAGTCTACGACCTATATAGCAGAAACCGCACTTCTTCCAGAAAATGCAATTAAATGCTGACTGATTCTGCAGACTTGCTCCGAGATGATGGAGCAGAACTGCTCCTGTCGTAAGGATGCCATATTCTTTGCCAATGTGCTGGTTTCTTGCAGTGCAGCAGGGCGCTGGGTTCTCAGTGTTGCAGGACTATGGGGCATTTAGTCGGGCTTTTGGTGAACTCTACGCGGGGGGTTTTGATTTTGTATTGTAGCTAGATTTGCTGTGAGAGAGTTGCCAGTGGCTTTTGCCGACGTGCTGTTTGAGTTCTGCCATGTGCCCACATGGTGAAGGCAGCATAGATGAATGAAGGATCATTATCATGATACAATGGCAAAAACATGCAAAAACATGCAACCATATTATACAAAACGTGTGCAGCCGCGGATGTGAACATTGCGCCACAGGACTGGAGGAGCTTTTAAAGTCCAAACTTGTTGACTGGAAGGCTGTAAACTTTTGCAACATCCCCGCACACCACGATTAATTTGAATTCCCTAAAGCTTCTTGCTGAGTCTTGGTGTACAGATCCGAGACGACTCCAAGAAGCCCGTAGTGAGCAATGCCGAGGGTCCCGGCACAACCGATCGCTACGGAGAATTCCCAGGATGGAGCAGTCGGCCTGAGGCTTCCTCAAAAGACTAGGCAGGCTGTACTGCTGGCTGCCTCATCTCCCTTCGGCAAGCTGAAAGCGATGGAGGCCAGTCTTAGGAAATCAGGTATGTTGAACGGACTTTGGGGACCCTTGTAGCAGGGGTAACTCCATTTGGCTGAGCCATCAGTGTTTGCTTCAGCTTATAGCTTGCCCCTGCAGGACAAGCTTTTCAAATTGGCTGGCGAGGATGCAGAAAAAGATCCAAAGTGGTGGGCAGATCTCCGAACAGCTTCGCGCTTCCTGATGGAGGCAAAGAAGAGGCAAGGCCAGGAAATAACAATGACCACCGGTAACTATAGTTTGAGACGCTGAGACTCAATGAGAAACAACTAAACCAAAGATGCAGCGATCCCTTTAGCCTGCATTGTTGAAGAGTGGTCGATCTAATGTCGATCGCTTGCCAAGTTGAGCAGGTCAGTGGGGGAGTATATCACAGATGTTCTGGACAACGGGATTGGGAAGTTCCTTGTCTTTGCACATCACAAGGACCCAAGGGGAGAGAAGGAGGCGGACAAGAAGCTAGTGAACTTGTCCCACTTGTTCCATCTTTCCACGCAGAGGGAGAGAACCATGACAAAAAAACAACTACTTTACTTCGAGTCACCCCCGCCCTGGCAAATTATTCTGGCATACTACTTTCTGACATACCACCTGGAAAGATGTATGGCATAGGTATTGTGACGTTCTATCTGGCCTTCTGTCTGGCATATACTCTGACATTCTATCTGACATTCTATCTGACATTCTATGGGACATTCTTTCTGGCATTCTATATGATATATATTCTGACATTCGATATCTATCTATATCTGGCATTCTTTCTGGTATTTTATCTGACTTATGTTCTGACATTCTATCTAGCAGTCTTTCTGGCATTCTATTTGGCATATATTCTGAAATTCTACCTAGCAGTCTTTCTGGCACTCTGTCTGGCATATATTCTGATATTCTACAAGTACTTTGCAGTCTTTGAGGCATTCTGTCGCAGAGGGGTAGCCGCGGAGGAGGAGAAGGAGGAGGAGGAGTTGCACCTTTGTTAAAGTCTAGAGACCCTCACCTGCCAGGTGGGGAACTTCATATTTCACGAATTTTTGTATCTCCGTAACAAGCCCTAACAGCCTTGGCAGTGTTGACACCTCTTGATGTTCATGCGCGGGCATGCGCGGGCAATACAGGATGTATGCCTGTCTCAAGTGTTGCGGTTCGATCATGCCGTGTGATGCCGTTGTGGTGCTGTGTTGCAATTGTGATGTTGTGATGTTGGGATGCAACACACTTCGGGCCCCCTGTGAGGAGATGTTGGACTCCTTAGAAAACGTGTTGAAAGAGAGGCTGGGTGTGGAAACCATTCAAAACTTGGATTCTGACGCATTCTGATCGCTGATGCGTCATTCATTTTGATTCATTTTGTGCAGGGTCGGCGGTGGCGGATACATTAGGATTGATGGCAGCATGTCGTCCCAACGCCAGAGAGCCGACCTGAAACGATTCCAAGAGGACTGTGGCCACAGGGGCACGGAGTGGCAAGTTCATTTTCCTTGTTTTTATTCAAAGATCAAACATGGAATTGCAACAATTGGCACATTGTTGTAATATGTCGTACTGCCTTTTTGTCAGCCACCTAGCTGCCAGGGAAGGTGTTTCACTGGAGGAACAGCACGCAAGAAGAGACTAACAGCAAATATACGAAGTAGGATTGCTGCCAAAGGAGCAAGTAGACACGGCACACTATATATTATGGGGGAGGGGTTTAAAAAAAAAATCCGGATCAAGAGAAAAAAAATCCGGATCAAAAAAAAAAAATCGGTCTAAAAACAATAGCAACTAGTAGGAGAGAAGGAAAGGAAAAGGAAAGAAAAGGAAAGGAAGGAAAGGGGAGGAAGGAAGGAAGGAAGGAAGGAAGGAAGGAAGGAAGGAAAGGAAGGAAGGAAGGAAGGAAGGAAGGAAGATCTATCTGTATCTATCTATTTCTATCTAAATCTATCTATATCTATCTATATCTATCTGTATCTATCTACATCTATCTATATCTATCTATATCCATCTATATCCATCTATATCTATCTATGTCTATCTATATCTGTATCTATATCTACATCTATGGCTGTATCTATAGATCTATATATATATATATCATATATCTATATAATTATCTATATATCTATATATCTATATATCGATATCTCTATATATATCTATATATATATCTATATATCTCTATTTATCTCTATATATCTCTATATATTTCTATATATCCCTAGATATATATATATCTATCTATATATCGATAGACATATATATATATACATATAACTATATCTATATATATATATATATCTATCTATCTATCTATCCATCTATCTACCTATCTATCTATAAATATATATCTCTCTCTATATCTATATATCTACATCTCTTTATCTCTCTCTCTGTCTCTATATATATATTTATTTATATACCACCATATATCTATATATCTTTAAATCTATATATCTATTTATCTATATATCTTTATATATCTGTATATATATATATCTATCTAAAAAGTTTGCATTATCATCCGGATGATATTCAAACCCCAAGCCAACCCTGAACCAAACCTTATATAAATAGATCTTAAACCAACTCGATGATAACATCAAATGAAACTATTGTGCATCGTTGTGCCTTAACCTACATTCCACATGTTTCCAAGGTGCATGTCGTGTAGTATATACACCTTGAGTATCACATTCAACCTAGCACCTTGCATGTGAAAATAGGTGTTTCCAATCTGCTTTGGGGGGGAGGCGCTGCGCCCTCCCCCCCAATCCCCCCCCTCCCCGGTTTTTTTTAAATTTAAATTCAAACTTGCACACATTTCAATACACTAGTTTGGTTAGACTATATATATATATTGTATATACATTGTATATATATATATACATATGGTTGTTTATATACACAGCTTTCATCCCAAAATAAACTGTAAATAATCATGTGCATGCATATGCGTCCACATAAGTATAGTTATTTGTATGTACATGTTGTATCCCTAAATAACCCCTAATCCAACCCTAAACAAACCCTAAACAGACCCTAAACCAGCCCTAAAACAACCTTAAAACCAACCCTAAATAGACCTTGATCAAATCAAATCTAGAATAAACCATAAAGCAACCCTAAATAAACCCTAAAACCAAAGCCTGCAGATATATTAATTACACTTGTAAATACATTGATCTACATATGCATATAGTCATGATTAGTCATGCATGTATACCTCTATACATCTACAGTTTATAGTTTGCACATCATGTATCTCCAAAAATCAATGAACACTTCGGAAAAAAAAAAACAATGAAAACAATGTAAAAATCAATGAACACTTTGGAACAATGAATGAAAACCAGTAAAACATGAATGAACACCATACAAAAATTGTAGAAAAACATAGAAAATTCCATTGACAAATGGAAGAAAACCACGGAACAATCGAAGAAAACCATAGAGCAATTGAAGAAAACCATGGAAAAATTGAAGAATACTATGGCAAAATTGACGAAAACCATGGAAAATCCATGAACATCTTGGAAAATTCCATGAAAATCATGGAAAAATCAATGAAAACAATGGAAAACTCGATAAGCACCATGGAAAAATTCATGAAACCACTGGAAAAATTGATGAACAGTGCGAATGAGAGATTTTAGCTACAAAATGCAGCAAATGAGAGATTTTAGGTGCAAAAAGCAAGGAAGGGAACCTGGACGACCAAAAAAAAAAATTGCCAAAACAAATAAACAATTGCCAACTTAATTTCGCGCCCGAAAAGAAGGAAGGAAGGAACGAAGGAAAGAAGGAAGGAAGGAGGGAGGGAGGGAGGGAGGAACGAAGGAAGGAAAAAGGGGAAAGGGAAAAAAAAACTGAATAATTTTTTTTTGATGCTTTCGAGCAGCTTGATCTCCCCTAGCCTCGGGGGATCAAGAAAAAATATGTCCAGATCAAAAAAATATTAAACCTAACCTACCACTAAATTTAGATGAAATAGGCAATAATTTTTTTAAGATCCTAGTGTTTTATTTTTTTTTGATCTGTTTTTTTTTCCCTGATCCTCCACTCCTAATATTATTATACTTCACGTTTTGCCACTAGGCACAGGGTAAATTTTGGTTTCGGGGGATAGTTGAAATTGTATTGTGTCTTGTTTGCCGTTCGGGTTGGAGGTTGATCTTCACAAACCAGGGCAATGGTCCGCACTCAGTGCAGGACCGGCAGTGTCATGGCGGTTTACTGTCCATAACAGCTCTGGCAGAGGGGCAGACCATCACGAACGCCAAGATCGTCATTTTTGCCGAGTTGGTGTGGACGCCGAGCACCATTGATCAATGTGAGGCGACCTCGTGACAACAATGTGACATTATATCAATGATATCTGTGACAACATGTATTTGTGCCTATGATTGATGTCCACAGTTTACAGTTTGCATCTGTTTGGTGTGGACCTTACGAAGTTTTCACAACTAGATGCTTCGGTTCTGGTCTCCTGGTGCAGGGACGGGCTCACAGATCCGGCCAGCAAAGATCGGTACTTATTCAGTACCTGTTGTTGCAAGATTCGGAGGTTGATCGCAGGTGTTATCAGCAACTTGGTGGCATCTAACAGTGCCCGCAACCCCAAAGTTAGGAGTTGGTAGTACTTTAGCTATCTGTCTCCAGGGCACAACGTCCAACATGCTCTCCGCAAAAGCGTTGCCGGGGTCAATTGGAAGTATCAGCCAGGCCAATGAAGAACGCGGACCAAATTAAATACTGCAAGGAGCATTGTGAAAGCAGTTGGACAACTGTCCAACACTCAGAAAGGGAGAAAATCTTCCTGTCGGGTGCAGATGCACTGTTTGCCAAGGCGCCTGGAAGAAACACATCAACATGCTGCCAAAGTACTGGACAACAACGAATCTGCATTTGTGGAAGAGACTGTGGACCAAGAGAAGGCGAAGAGAATGGCTGGACAAGTGCTCGGTCACTCGTTTATCTCAATTTGCCCAGTCTTCATTGCTGTATAGAGGTCACAGGAAGCACACATGCAACCCTCCAGTGATGGAATTTTCTTTGATGATGAGGTGACAGGCCGGATAGGCGACCAAAACCTTTCACCTCGCACGTGGCGTACCCAAAAGCACAAGCAGAGCCAGTCAAGGCTGAAGGCAGGCCTTATATGGAACGTGCTGTGCAGATCGCCAATTAGAACTGTGGGGATTGATTCTTTAGAGCTCATTGGCTTTGGACTCCTGGACACTTGATTTTTTCAGGCCTCTCTGTGCAAAAGGCTGTGGAGCAAAAGTTCAAGTCTGTACCAAATGCAAGGACAAGGGGGTTGGAATTGAAGCGATTTCGATGGTACTGGAAACGGAGTTACCGGTATGTTGTGCCACCACTGCCACCATTCTGCCCAAATCAATGATGAGCTGGTTCAGGAGCAGTGCCTCCAAAAGCACACCATCGGCTGAGCCAGCTCCTTCGTTGCCGCTCCCAGATGTTGAGTCCTACAAGATCTTGGATCATCTCCATTTGGGCCTGAACGTGAAAATTGGAGCGACCTACTCCAGACAAGAGCTGGAAGCAAGATGCAAAGGAAATGAGCCTCACTGCAAAGTCAGGGTTCAGTGGGTGCTGTGGTGGTTAAAGATGGAAAAGATGCTGCAATATAGAAATATTATGAAATGTTAAGATGCACTTTCTTCTTTAGCCAACTTTTGGATAGAAGTAAATAGTACTTTCCAACATTCCACAAGGTTTCATTTGCTGCATAATTTAGAGCGAGGGCTGACGAGGTACGAGGTGAATCTTTGCAATTTAAGCGAGGTGAATTAATTAAATTCACAAAACGAGGTGGGCAGAAATTGCTTTCAAAGCATGTGCAACGAGTGAAAAAAACTTTTCGGGCTCCAGAAAGTTTTTTTTTTGTTCCCATCAGAGTGAAAAATAGAAAATTAAGGGTGCATTCAGACCCCGTGAAAAAAACCTTTCTGGAGCCCGAAAAGTTTTTTTTAATCGTAATTTCAGTCAGTGCCCTGTGGTGGCATGCCCGGTTGTTCCAGGACTTCCGTATTCGTTCTACAGTGAAACCACTGTTTAAGAACCCACTGCATTAAGAACTTCAGGGGCTGGATTGCTGGATTCAACTCTGTCTACCAGCTAATTGAAATAAGAACCCTAGGGAACCCTGAAATTTTGGTCAATAATTCTTATTCACCTTTCCCAGGTAGCGCGACTAGATTCTATAAATTGCTAAAGCTTGAGGTGTAGCGGGGTATCTTGGTGCTGCTGCTGCAGCTTCTCTTCTCTGGGGTCGAATTTGGGGGGGAATCGAGACCCTTGTAAAAGAGGCATCTCGGAAACAGGAAAAAACTTTTTAGGCCCTGAAAAGTTTTTTCAGCATCCCCAAGCCTCTGGAGCCCAGAGCGTTGCTGCAACGACGACAAAGATAATTCAAAAAAGTTCAACCCAAAAGGAGGCAGAGGACTAGTGCGAATGGCTTGCGGTCGAGAAAGAAATGGGACGAGGGCTGAAATCCGTTTTGAATGTAACGAGGCGAGGACTGAAGATTTAATCAGAGGGGAAAAGTAGATTTAAGACGAGGAAACCGTTTTGAATTTAAAGTAAATTTTGCAGATTTGGCATCATGCCACGACGACAGTGCCGTTGGTTGTGCTGGCTGTTGTGCTTGTGAAGATGGGTGGACTTTGATTCTTTGATTCAGGCCCAGAAGTTGGGGCGGTTGCGTTTCCATGTTCGAGATCTGAAGAAGCTCCAACGGGTGGATTCTGGGTCTACCAAGTCTACTGAGTCTACCTGTGAGCCGCCCTCGAAGAAGCCACGGACAGATGAACCTGAGGACTTGTGGTAGGCATTTTACAATTTGGCCACTGGCCTGTCTTTGCCTTTGCCTGAAGGGCAGATGCAAGATGCATATTCAGCTGAACAGGCCCACTCTGATCACAACTAGCTGCGGCTAGGACATGCTTTCTTGGCTTTGCCAGAGAGCGTGTGAAGAAAACACGTATTCTTGCATGCATTCAATTCTGGGTGGTGGTCTTGGTCATTATCTATTTTTTTGAGTTTCTTGCGCCGATATCAACATGGATCACGCTGCAGGCATACGCAGGCAATATGTTTGTCTGGTGGTACCCCTTGATTGATTGTCGTTCTATTGGTTGGTACTAGTTCCTCTATGTTGACAAACAGGGTGCGACACCTTGAATGCCCAGCCATGGCACGTTTGCTTCCACCGCAAGGTTTGGCACAACACGGGCCAGACTGTTTTATGTTCCGTCTTTTGCATGAAGGTGATGCAGGTGAATGGTAAGGATTGTAAATTGTAAGTCTGCCCAAAGCCAAGAACCACTGACTCACTTGGAAAAGCATATTTCATAGATTCATCACTCAGGGCGCAGATTTCATGGAGAAAACATGGTTTGGGTTGGGGAAACCTTGACAGGCGTTTGTTGGGAACGTCAAGGGTAATCCTCCCCCTTTATTGTTGAATCGCCATGTTTCATCGCGGGAGCTTTGCAATAGTGAAACTTGGCTGCACGTAGCAGTGGCATGCAGTGGCTGCATGCCCCCTCCGTACAAGAACAATTCAAAGCGATTCTTGTGAAATGTGGCGGTGCACTTTTTACACAGTACTGTACATGCAATCATCTCAACGAGACGGATCTACACTACCGTGTTTGGAAATGAGAGAGCGAACAATTAATTTTGATTCGCCAGAATAAGCACTGCTGCTGAAGACTGACAAGCTGCCATAATCTGCCATGCATGAAAGTGTCCAAAGCAGCCACTTTTGGCCACAATTCATTCTACTCATTTCTACTCACTTCTACTACTCTCAATCAAATTTGTGTGGCGGAATTTGGGGCCATAGCCTTGGAGAACCACTGCGTCGATTGCGTTCTTCGGCAGGTCTCGTGCTCGTTTGAGCTGGCTGCCACCTTTGATCATCGGACTTTTTGTCTCAGAGCTGCTGCGATGGTGGTCCCGCAGACGGAAAGAGAGGTCCGAGAGGTCCTGAAATTTGTGTTGACACAATGGCTTCAATGGCTGCAGCTTCTGTAAATTAGTGGGAAAATTGTTGGGATTGTTGAATGTTGGTCGCAATACCGAAATATTTGGCAACTACAAGTATATTTGGTAACAACATTTATATAAGTACTTGGTGTGTTCAGTGATTTGAGATTCTGCTCAGGCTAATGGGGATACATCGGATAAATGTGGATACCACATTCCCTGGCAGCAAGGTGCAACTGGCACACTGCAGATGTTTGTTTTTCAGGTCTTCGGCTCCAGCTCCGAGCATTGCCAAAGAGATCCCGGCTACCGCTCGAAAGCCCCCGCGACGGCCAGGCCCATGGCAAGGTGGTGCACTGGTGCAGTGCATCATCACAGTGAATCATACAGAATCATACCCTCTGGTAATTTAACATAGCTATTGAAAATGACCATTAATAGTGGATTTTCCTATTAAAAATGGTGATTTTCAATAGCTACGTTAAATTACCAGAGGGTAAGTCATCTCGGTCACTTCACTTCAGTCACCTCGTGCCCCCAAGTGCGGCGAAGGCGTAGATGATGACGTACGCTTTCAGAAACTGCAAGACGATCCACGCTATTTCCCTGGCGCACAGCTTGGAAAGGCAAATGGCAAAATATGATGCCCCATTGTGTAAGATGTTGTAAGCAGTTTAAGGGGCTTGCTCCAACTAGTGTAACAGATTCATGCAATTACGGGAAATTACGGATGATGTATGGACTGCGTGGATATGTCATGATGTGTCCATGCGCGAATTGTATGCGGCTTCACTTTGATCGCTAGGCTCAGCGAGCTGCTTTGGGAGAAGTGATGCAGTTCGAGGGGCCCAACACCGCGTCATATAGCCCTTCCTCCACATTGGTGGAGTCGCTGGCCAGCTGCGCTGGGGTGTGGGGCTGGAGTAGCTGGCGGATTTTGTCAATATTTGACAGAGGCAGAAGGGTTGCACAGCATTGGCTGAAGCCTGTATTACTGTTAAATTGTGTAGCTTGTGGCAGGCCAGTGAGAGCTGCAGGGGTCGATGAGAGCAGATGTGATGAACCTAAAGTATGCTGCATCATGCTCGGATGTCTTATGTATGCGGTCTGGGTGTAAGGCCAAGCATTCGCTTCATTGTTGCTGGATCTGGCAGCAAGTGCTTTACTGGAGCTGCTGGCCCTGACGATATCATTGCTGTACCAGACTTTTTCTGTGACTGGCTGCAGATGAGAAATGTGATGATATGTGTCATTGTGGAAACACACATATCATATGACGCTCCGGCCCTTAGGTTACCCGGGAGCATCATTTATTCCAAGATCCATTGCATAGGCAAATGTCCATTTTATATGGTTTTTTCCAATGTTTTGTGTGTTTCTGAAGATGTGAACTCATCAGTTGTTGATCATGGGGCACGCGGACATTTCTGAAAAATGTCCGTCGATGAGAAGCATCAATTTAACAAAATGTGTTGGTTTTGAAGAATGGAAGAAGCAAATTCCATGGAAGGGTTGCCGATTTTATCAAGTGTCCGTACATAGTCATTAAAATGATGATGCAAAACCCCTGCGAACGCCAAGGAAAATGGAGACCCATTAAAATTCATTGCAAATACCAATACAATCTGTGTTTGCCACAGCGGCCCAAAAGCTGATAGTCACCTTTTTTTTGCGCTTTTCACTGCGGTCACAAGTTTCACAAAGGTTTCTGGAAGCATCGCGATGGACTTGTTAATCCATTTGACGCTTTTTGCCTATGTACGGCAAGAGCTCGAAGAACGCGTTCCAAGCCAGGCTCCTTGTTCAAGTAGTGCGCGCACAGCAGATTGCGGTGCTCGATCTTGTCACGCGCAGTGGTTGACAAGAGAGCCATCCGTCCCAACCCCCCAACCAACATGTTGCAAGAAGAAGTGCCACAGCGTAGCATCAAGAGCGTGTTAGATGTTGCAAGAAGAAGTGCCACAGCGTAGCATCAAGAGCGTGTTAGATGTTGCAAGAAGAAGTGCCACAGCGTAGCATCAAGCGCGTGTTGGATGTTGGATGTTGGATGTTGGATGTTGGATGTTGCAAGATCACGAAGACCGTCAAGAAGGTCGTCGACAGGACGTTATTACCCACCCCCCCCACCCCCCCACCCCCCAACCAACGTGCCAACAAACGGTTCAGCTGACAAACATGAAGAACTTCCCAAAGTTGCGCGCACGTCGGTCGAAACGTCGGCCACAGATCACACCCGCTAACCATGATATGGAAAGAGACACGTACACGGCGAGGACTACGGCGTCCATCTGAGCCCAAAAAAAAAGGAAAACGGACACTGATCAACCTCAGCGAGACATTCGGTGGCTCGGGGAACCCCAGGGCTGGCGGGTCATATGAGATAGTCTGTTGTCATGTCCAGAGTGTAGTACCACTTCTCAAAAGCGCATCAGATTTGCATAGATTTGTTAGGTCGCAGTTTAACGATGCTTATACTGTAGCAATGCCCCTGCCCTGCAGTAATGAAACAGTCCTTTCCTTGCGATCAGAGATTCTCAGAATCTCTAAGACCAGGTGCCGCCACGCAGATGGATCTCTATGATACCTGGCTGGTTTGGTTCACTTACAGTCTATTATCAGTCTATTCGTATGGCACCGTGTGACTGGTTGAAGAGAGTGAAGAGAGTGAAGAGAGTGAAGAGAGTTGTGAAGTGCTCCTGAAGTGCTCGTATGTTTAGTAGCGATTGGCAGCTAACCAGCAGCAGCAGCCAAGGACAGCATGTTGGCAGAGCTGCGCGAGATGGTTGAGGGAGATGGAGATGGCAGTGAATTCCCCCACTACCACGAGATCATGGCTCAAATCAAGGAGTGCCCGTGCCAGCACACAAGCCCAGTTTTCTTGTGTCAACATGTCGTGTCAACATGGATCCAAGCAATCAGGTGTTATCACATTTACTTGATGAATCTATCAACTAGCTATCACTTTTCAAATCTGTTCAATGTTCAAGAGTTTGTGCAAGATCCTCTCGAAGATTCAGGAAGTAGCAAGCCTAGAGAGGGTCCGAAGTCGTTTCGAGCTGTGTGTCGAAGGTAGAGAACCAACAGACAGTTGCATGCAGCAGCAAATGCTGCAGTGGAATAAGGTTCTTTGCCGTGGGGAAATGCAGCACCTGCATCACTTGGCATGAAACTCTGGGCAACCCGAGCCTGACTCTAGTCAGTGATGAATCGGATGGTATGTTTGGCATGACGGCATGACCCGTTTCTATTCTTGGCATTCTGTACAGCCAGTCATCAGGGCTCAATTCTGTGCGACCCAAAGGGTGAGCGAGCTTCAATATGGCATGGATTCACTGATATATCTGATATGAACGATGCAAATGAGCAGTGTATTTGCAGTGCACTTTATAACAGTGTTGAATCGCTGAACCGTGTGACCCCGTTCTGCTTGTACAATGTTCATCAATGTTAAGCTCCGCTAAGAATCCGTTAAGCTCCAAAGATGCTTTCCATGGATTCCCCAAATTCCCAAATTCCCAAGGAGCGCAAAGTCAGACAACTTTGACGAAGTGATGACCTCCGGGGACTTTGAGTGTGCTGTGTGGCCTGGCTCGGCCTGTTTTGTTTCGAGGTGGAAGATGGGGAGCGCTTTTTCCACACTGCTTTAGTGAATGATTTGTCATGATTTGTCCAAGTCCCCAAGTCCTTGGAGGTATAACGGCGTGCGCATGCACTTCTTTTTTGTTGGGGGGGTTGTGTCCACAGATGCCAAAAGAGAACGAATTCACATAGTACACACACAAACATAATAATCACGCATGTCAATGCATATCATAAAGACTCATATTATCATGTACATGTACATTTAGCATGCATATTATGTGTAGATGTATGTATGCATGTATCACACACACAGGCATGCACATAACATACACATGTACAATGATGTATGCATGTTTCCGCCAACATTTATGATACTTATCATAGACATGCCATTCCATGACTCTAAGACCTGGCTGCTTGTAATATGATAGGGTCCCTAGCACCATGTGAGGCACTTTGTCCTTGGCGGCAGCTATGAGCTGCAACTTCACCGCCCCGGACCCGTGCGCGATGGGTTTCTTGCAGTGCCATGTGTGAACGGCAACTTGGAGGCATTTTAATGATATGTATATATGCGTGTATAAATACATACATACATAAATAAATAAATAAAAAAATAAATATATATATATATAATATATATATATGCGTTCACCAGTGTATGCCTTCGATGCTGAGCTGATGGCAAGGGCAGAGCACTGAGTATTTCTTGATGCGCCTTTGTTGACCTCACCGAAATGCTCACCCCTTCCACGTGCAACCTTTCAGAGTTTGAAGTTTGAATTGTCATTGTGGTCATCACTGAGAGTCAGTACAGGGGTGGGAAATCCAAAGCATTTTAAACCAAGGCTCTTTGTGTCTGCTGGGTTCTGCAACTCTCGCGAGCCGCTGACTCAGTTGCGTGACATGTGATGTTCAAGCTGAGATGGTTTCGGGAATTCCATGGGTCAATACAGGCTCACTTGAAGCCCATATCAGCCCTCCCTGAAATGCAGTGCAGGATACTGCTGCCGCCGTATTGTTACTGAAGACCAGCCCCGGCCTGCACTTTCGATCATCATGCTCACAAGTTCCGCCGCATTGCGGAGGACCACATCCACGCTTCATGTCATCACGCCATGTCCTTGCAGTTTTGTGAGTTTTGTGCATCACCAGGAGCCGGGCAGCTATTTTGAAGCCGCGGGAGGCCGAAGCACTGCGCATTTTTTCTGCATGTTATTGGCAGAGTACTGCTTTGCTTCGAGTGCAATCCTTGGTAGGTCTTCCTTATCTTCCTTCCTCTTGTTCTCCTCTCGACTTATTCCATTTTGTGCTTACTTTTTCCGTAGTCCTTCGTCGCGTGAGTTTGGTGAGTTTGGCTATAGCAGCATATAGCAGCTATGCATTTTTGATAATTTTTGTGGGATTTGTGGGCTCACCTCGCTGCTCTCTGTTTCTCCACCCTGCTTCCAGCAGTTTTGCTTTGATCAGATTTCTCCACTTCTTGAAGAATGGGATTCGGTGATGCGCCCGGCCATGCGCATTCGTGCTCTCCGACCAAATGCGGAACTGGGGCGGATCAGTCCGGAACTCATTTGTTCTTTCATGCGTTTGCTGCACTTCGGTGTTGCTGTTGGGTACAGTAATATCAGTAATTGGCACCCGCGACGACAAGGCACCATTCTTCTGCAGCTTTCCATTGTCTTATTGTTCCTTGAGTTTTGAGAGAAGTTGAACGACTCAAACTTTCCAGCAGTTTGGGGCAGAAGAAACGTGAATAAATCTGACTAAATGAATAGTGAATTAATATTTGTCATGGGAGAAATGAGACAGTGCCGCGATATGCCGCGATATGCCGCGATATGCCGCGATCAGATCGATCAGGTCATGATGATGTGATCGTCATTCCTGAGTTTGCATGCAAAATGGGAGATTGGGATGCATACTACGCTCTTCTGCGAGAGATTCGGGCATCTCGGTAGCAATTTAGTCTGAGCATAGTCTGAGCAATGAGAGTATCCAGTTGCTGCTCTGCAACCGTTTCAGACCCGACTCGGCACTGAAGCTTTCAGGCAGGACAGCAGAGTGATGGCGTGGAGTCAAAGTGGGAGTCCTGGCATGAAGGTACGGGTAGCAGCCGGGTAGCACATAGATGCGCAGCTTTGCGCAGCACTAGGACCACTAGGAATTGAAACATTTGAAACAGCAAACCCTTCGAAGCCATGAAAACTTTTCGCTCCGACAGGCGCCCACCTCCTCACACAGACCCCCAACAACTCCGAGACTTTTCAGGAGGCCCTAGATTGCATGTGTAGACAGATTAGACAGCTTACCTGGATATGACGTGATGGGATCCCGTTTTGGCTGACTCCTGTCGTATTTGAAAACAAGCTAGTCTAGGCTAGTTTGCACAGCTTTCAGAATTGAGCACATTGATTTCCCTATATAATTCGGTTTATATATTGCTTCCCTCAGATCCTGGGCCAGCTTTGCCATCGTTTTGCTATTCGTCAAAATGGATATATTGGCACCCGCTGCTTGGCTGACAAATTCCCTCACAACAAACTGCTTGGACCTCGGGACGGACCTCTTGGACATCTTTCGAATCTTTCGACCTGTTCGGCCCCTTGGTCAACGGATTTCCTCAGGGCCAACTGCAGTGCGAATACGCTCCGGCTGAGATCAGCTGAGACCAGCTAAGGCTTCAACTGGTACCGAGACAGCTCTGACTGGAAGCCGTTCCACCATGACTCAGCGGCCTTCAATCGTGAAAGAGCCTTGAAGCAAAATTGCAAGGCCCTCAGAGCAATGGCGAGACGACCACGACATCAAAGCGCATGAAAGCGCATCAAAGCGGATCAAACCGCATCAAAACGCCATACCGAATTGCATACGGCGACATAAAATTGATCACAGCGATTCATAGAGGGGGATTCAGAATGATTCAGATGGAGTAAGATGGAGTGAGGGATATTCAGTATATAAGATATACTGTGATATACTGATATAATTATTGTAATGTACATATTTGTTTCTTTGCTTGGAACTTGTGGAGAGTAAGTACTGTGTTGTCGACATAGTTGCCGAAATGGCCATGCCATTTTGGCTCAAGTCCCCCGACCGAAGTAACAGTTTGGAAAACTTTCCCGTCATTGCTACTCGTCATCATGGATGTGGTGGACGCTGCGCCCAGTCCTGTGGCAAGAGATTCGGGACCAGTTCACCATGGTTGACTCGTCTTTGGACAGCTTTTCTTTGATTGACGCCTCTTCGACGGCGGGGGACGACTTTCTGATGTTGGAAACGCCCAAGTCTAGCAATGGCTGAGCACAAGATGGCCGACTTCAATTGGGCGAGATGGGCGTGGACATGGAGAAGGATCTGGATGCCTAGTTGCAACTCCGTGGCACGGTTGGGCACGGGTACCCCGGCAACACTGGAGGCAGCCTCTGGCACCCAGACCTCTCCCATACCTGCGGTAGCGCCAGGCACCGACACCGTCTGTACCGCCTCCCGGCTTTGCAAGGCCACCAAGGACGGCGTCAAAGTGGTATAAGCCAAACTCTGCCAAGAGCAACTTCAGCTCCCCATGTGTCACCGCACAGGCATAGCGGGCAGAAGCCTTAAAAAGTGGTGGGATCAATGTTTCCCAGCCCTCAACCAAAAAGGTTCCAGCTCCCTTGGCCCCTTGTCAAAGACCAGGCATAGAAGCTCATTCTAAGGTAGTGAGCGTGGGCTGGTCCCCGGACGATCTGGCCTTAACACCGAAGAGTACAACACCTTCCTGAAGGTCAAGCACTTGGGCGCCGTCCAAGGATGTTAAGGACTCAGGATCCTGCGGTGGCAGCCGCGGGCACTGATCCGAAGTGGGTGAGTTTCTCCGAACAGGTGCCTGCAGCTCAGAAAATCACCCTGAAGCAACAACTTCAGGAGTTTGGGCAGGATGGGGTATTCACCCAAAAGGAAGACAAGCCACCGATTTTGGTGGAACGTGACGTGGACCAGACTGCTGTGGTCTTCCACCCGAAGGCGGTCCAGGTGGTCTTGAGGCACAGCGCAAAGAAGAACCACAAGGAACTGCAGGCCATGATGGAGATGCAAAAAGGGACCCCTGGGGTCAAGGAGCCTGCAGGTCTCTCGACTCTACGTGGCCTGGACCCCAAGGTCTTCAGAGACTATCTGACTATCTCAAATGCAAGCACGAAGAGAGCAGGGTTACCACCTCCTTCGAGGCCCTTCAAGAGGCCCAGCGCGCCCAGGCTCAGGCAGCCAGATCGAACAGTTCCAAGAGGACCCTTCTGAAGCCCTTGCAGGTGGAGAGTTTTTCCGTCTAGCCTTCGGGCCTCCAACAGGCCTGGCAATCCAACCTATTGAACCGCAGTCGGCCCCTGATGGACCAGAACAATTTGATTTTGGCTCGCTCAAACAGAGCTATCTGGCCATGAAGGAATTCTTGAAGGAGAACCACTGTCCCATTCCAGGCGGGAAGCTTCTACAGGAGTTTCCCACGACACAGCTGGACCTCTACATGAGGAGGGCACTGAGACCGCGATGGGGAAGTTAGCCAGACAACTTCCAGAACGCAGTGCGGACTGCAAGCCGGCCATCATGGACCCAATCCTCAGTTTCCACATAGGAGAGGTGCGTGTTTGGGGCGGTTTTTGGGATCATCCTCAAATCCAACCATGCCCCTACGACCCAGCATCAAACTGGTGGGGAGCAAGCGATGCTAGTGCACATCCTGATGGGAATGCCTACATTGGAGGATGGCTGGCGGACACGGAGAATTTGGTGGTTCCACTACCAAGTCTACCAAGTCCAACTCAAAGACGACCTCTGGGCACACAAAGATGGTGATCCCACTCGCCGCATTGCTGCCCGAGATGTTTGGCACCCTGATAGTCATTTACTTCCTCTTATCCAAAGGGGGGAAGATCGCTGCTTAGCACTTGCTTGAGTTTCATTTCGGACAACCCAGGCAGGATATTTTTGCATTCCTGAACCAGAAGACCAAACAAATGCGTACGTCTATTTACGTCTGCTTGATGCAGCTCTTCGTGATGCTCTACACAGCGGGGGTCCAATTGGCCCCTTCGCACATGAAGAGAGGTTTCCGTCCTGAACGGCAACTGCCTGTGAGCGAGGCTTTCTCAAAATTTACCTAACCACGAAGACCACCCATTAAGGTAAGACCGAACCAAAGGCCACCTAAGGTCCACTGGAGCTTGGTGGGCGCGGCTGATTCTATTTCCGAGTAATGAAAGCCCCTTCGACGCTGATGCTTGGTGTGACACCACCACGGTTTTGGACATGGTTCCTGGAGGCAACCAGTTGATGATGCATTTGGCATCCGAACTGAAAACCAGCCGCGCCGGCCAACTGCATAGCAAAAGGTTCTTGCTGCTGCAGTTGCCTGCTTTGTGAAAGCAATTTTCAAGTCTATCCGGGAATACGCATATATAATCACATATATATATATACATATATATATATATTTAATATATAATATAACCACACACGCATATATAAATATTGTATTTACAATCGCGCATATGTATGTATACATATATATATATATATACATATATATATATATATTTATAATTATATGTATATATATTTATAATTATATATATATAAATAGATAGATATATTATACATAATATTTACCTTCAGATAAGATATTAAGAGGTATCAAGAGGGTCCATGTGTAATTGACCTTCCCCTTTGCCCTTCCATTCAAGATCGAGGTACTGTTGGTGTGTCCTTCGGGGCTTCCAGGGAGCTTGCCTTTCAGCATGCGAAGTCCAGGGATTTGCTCTACTTTCCCCAGACCAATGGGATGCTATTTTTCTTCGGGCGCGATGTCAACATCCGCTGGAGGCAGCTGGTCGAACAACCGGTTAGAGCTTGTCGAGGTCGAGGTTGTGTCTGTATTTCTTGCAAAGGGAAGAGAATAGGTCCGATGCTGATATTCTATGATATTTTGATACTCGTATATGGTGTGCATATGCAATTTTGATGTATTTTGTGTGCCTGTACCCTGGTTGATACTTCATTATTTTGAGCAGGTCTCTGATTCAATCACCGAGGCATGGGATTAACGCGCTCCCTCCGGAACAGCAGTCGAGCAAAGGGCGAATCTCCATCATCTCGCTGCTCTTCTGATTTAGTTTGAAGTTGATCGGATCTTTTTCACAAGAGTCGAGACATCAAGTCCAATCTTCAAGGCTAAAGTAGTGTGCACATGATTGCACGTGCTCATTCCTTTTCACGCATTGCGCACAGTGTATGAGGTGGGGCCTATGCGAGCTGGCCTTTGAAGAGCCATGTGCGCCACCAATGTTAGACGATCTCTATGCAGACAGAAAGGCGGGTCCTAAATTCAAGGGAGCAGATGGCAATGCATGGAGCAGATTCACCAGAAACTGATTGAACCTGGGACAAGGCCCGCAAACTCTAGGGGTCAAAAAAATAATTCTCTTGGATTGAAAAAACATTCTGGATCCCAAAAATTATTCCGGTTCAAAAACATTGAATATTATATGACTAGAATAGGTAGGAAGGAAGGAAGGAAGGAAGGAAGGAAGGAAGGAATGTCATATATATATATATAATCATGTTCATGTATTCACAGAACCATGTTATACATATGAGCACGTTTATGTTTACACATGCACATATTTTTAGGTACCTTATGTGCACATATTTTTTCCCTAAAGAAACCCTGCAACCAACCAAACACCTTGAACCAAACCTAAAGAACCCCAAACCAAGCCTAAAGAACCCGAAAGCCAACCCTAGGCCCTAGATAAACCTTGAACCAACTTTAAACAAATCCTACACCGACACTGTCATAACAATCAATGAAACTATTTGCGCCGCTTTTTGCCCAGCACCCTGGTGCCTCAACCATCCCCAGCCTACATTCTACATGTTCACAAACGGCATGTTCGGCATTAAAAAAACAGCGAGCACCATGTTCAAACTACAGCGTTGCCTGTGAAAACAGGTATTGTCATTCTGCTGTGGGGGGAGGCGTTGCGTCCCGCTTTTTTTATTCAAGTCGAACTTTGCACACTTGCAATACACTTCTCTGCATGTATATATATATATATATACATATCTGTTTTTTTCATGTATTTCGATGATTTGTTTACATGTGTATATTTTTCTCTTTCTCATTCTCCCTCTCTCTTTCTGTATCTATATATATATATGTATATGCACAAGCATATATATACACACTGATATACTATGTATATTTTATTTATTATATATATATATCATGTGAGATATATATAGTTTAATGTGCAATATATTGTATATAATATTTGTAATATGTGATTTAAATACATTTTTGATACATTTTTCAAATGTAGTAAAATATATGGCTGTTTTTTTTAACATGTGCATTTTTAGAAAAGGCATGATGCTCGAGTTGTGCGAATCATACCCCGAATCATACCCCGAATCATGCCCCCGAATCATACCCCCGAATCATCCCCCCCAAAATCACGATTATGAATGTTTCTTGTGGGATTGTTTGGGATTGCATTGGCCTCACTAGTTTTAATAGACTTGACACGCTAATTGACCAGTGTTGGCCAGATCCGATGATCCCTGGCTACTTTCACATACCTTCACGACATGAGTGCCACGCGCACATCATTATCCCTAAGCTGGCTGGCTCTGGGTGGCTGGCTGGCTGGCTAGGTGGCTGGCTAATGACGGCTGTCTGGCTGCGTGGCTGGCTAGGTGGCTATGGCAGTTGCTGCTGCTGGTTGAGTGGCTGGCTATAGGGCTGCGGGGCTGGCTAGGTAGCTAGGTGGCTAGGTGCTAGGTGGCTATGGCTGGCTCTCCTGCCTCCTGGCTGTGGCTGGCTAAAGTCAAGGCTAATTGATATACTTGACATGCTTGCTGTGTTGTCTGATGAGGCTGATGAGGCTGATGAGGAGGATGACTCCGGCTGTGGCTGGCTGGCTGGCTGGCTGGCAGCCAAAACAAAAATCCGTCGAAGAGGAACATTAGCCTAAGCGTAGCTGAGCTAAAGGTACATCAGAAGAACATCCAGAAGGCACGCGGGCGGGCCGGCAGATATAAATCATAGATGTGTATTCAGATCTTCATATTCTTCATATTCAGGTCTGGTCCAAGGTCGTCTGGCAGGTCGAGCCATTGCAGCCATTAAGTAGCAATCGTGGTAGGTTGACAGTGGGAAAATGAGACTCAAGACTCAAGCAACAAAGCTTCCTGAATTCAAAAAAAGTCGCTTTCCGAATCATACCCCGAATCATGCCCGAATCATACCCGAATCATACCTCAAACTTTTCTGAACCTTGGTGCATTTGCAAGATCAGAACTTGTGTTTTGTGAGCATAAATCTTTTCTTCGCAGCCACTCGCCACGCTCTAATTATGCCTCCTGCTGCTTCCGACAGCAGCACCCTGCAGCGGCATCCTGCAATGGCACCAACATGCCAACTCCAAAGCGCACACACTACTTTTAACCGCAGCACCTTGAAGCAGCACCCTGCAGCGGCACCAGCAGGCCAGCTCCAGAGCGGACACGCCACCCCAACAGCTGCACCCTGCAGCAGCAGCAGCAGCAGGAGCAGCAGTGTGCAGCAGCACCCTTCACTAGCACCCTTGCAGGACGAGTTGGATACATTACGTACCCCCCTTGCAGCACCCTCAAGCATCACCTTTGCAGCAGCATCAGCAGGCTAGCTCGACAGCACCCTCAAGCAGCACCTTCCACCAGGATCCGCTCACCAGTACGCCCGCTCCAAAACATGGTTTGCAGGACACGCATCACTCTGACAGCAGCACCTTCAAGCATCACTTTCAGGCAGCACCTGCAGCAGCACCCTGAGCGCCACCAGCATGCCCGCTCCAAACTGTACACACCACCCTGACAGCAAGCAACACCCTGCACCAGCACCTTGCAGCGGCACTCCAACGGCACCACCATGCCCGCCCCAAAGTGCGCACACCACTCTGACAGCAGCACGCACAGCGGCAACAGCATGCCAGCTCCAAAGCGCTCCATGTATGGTATAATTGCCAACATTTGAAACATTTTGGTGGTAATTGTGGGTAAATAACCATACATGGAAGACGTGGGGAAACACTAATTCAAGGTCCGCGAATCATACCCACGAATCATACCCACGAATCATACCCACGGATCATACCCCGAATCATACCCACGAATCATACCCCCTAGACAAGCATCCCGGACTGCATGCGGCATCTTGAGACATTATATATATATACTAATATATATATATATACTAATATATATATATTTAATACATATTCTCTCTCTATATATATGTGATGTATGATCTGATTTATACAGAATTTAGGCTGTGTATTTTCAATTAATTATAATTTAAATCATGTATATATACATATATGCATATATATATATATTTATAGATATAGTTGGATATATATATACATACATGCATGTATGCATGCATACATGCATGCATACATACATACATACATACCTACCTACATACATATTATATTTACATTTAACTTTCTATATACATAATTTTTCTTGATCTCTGGGGAATATGTTTGATCCCAGCAAATTTTTCCTTGCCTTGTATATATGATCACCTAGTACCAAATATCAGTATATATATATAAGTATGTATGTATGTATGTATGCATGTATGCATGTATGCATGTATGCATGTATGTAGGTATGTAGGTATGCAGGTATGCAGGTATGTAGGTATCCAGGTATGTAGGTATGCAGGTATGCAGGTAGGTAGGTAGGTAGGTAGGTAGGTAGGTAGGTATGTATTTATGTGTGTATGTGTATGTATATAGATATGGATATGGATATGGATATGCATATTTTTAGCTATTGACATGCACGCGCCGATCAAATGTCAGCTCGAAATGACCCTAAACAGACCCTAAAACAACCATCAATCCCAAACCAACCCGAAATGGGTTCATATTTTGGATATCTGTTGCAAGTGGCAATCTAGACCAAACATCAAAGTCTATTTCTGTCTGAAATATTTTTTTTTGATGCCTTCGAGGGGCGAGGTAGAGCATTTCGATCCCCCCGTTGCCTGATACAAAATATTCTGGATCAAATATATATATATATATATTCAACCCACCATTGAAACTATTTCATTATATTTCTGTAGGATTTTTTTTTGATACCAGTGTTTCAATTTTTTTGATCCGGAATAATTTTTTTGATCCCTCACTCGGAACATGCAATGCACCGATGTCATCTCAACATTCACCATTTAACATTTGAATTTTATGTTGGCGCATTGAGAATGGCAGAAACCCTCTATCAAAACATTTTGTTGGTGCTTTCACTTGCGAGTTGGTGCTCTGGGCGAAATTGCATGGCCAGGGAAAGGGCAAAAGCAAAGGCAAGGGCACAAAGGAGTGGAGTTTGTTTGAAGGCAAAGGCAAAAGCAAAGGAAAGGGAGGAGAGATGAGGGAGGTTTGCAGGAAACTTGACCAGCAAAATTCATCAAAAGACTTCTTGCAGTACTTTCAGCCCTCGGTTGTTGTAACAAGGGATTGGCCAATGTTGGACAGCCGTCCTTTCTTGTTCCATGGTCCACGGCCTTCACACGTTTCAAACTTGCAGCCTGTTTTATCTCCATCTCTGAGGATGTTCCAACGGGGTCAGTGCTCAAGAGGAGATTCGTGCAAATATTCTCACGTACTCCGCACAGCTTAGAATCATTTGGAATCTTTAGAATGGCAATGGCGGAGCTTTGCCGTGTTGCAAGTTTTCCACCAGCCATGAGATTAGACGAGAATAAAGTGCAAATGTGCGTGCCGGCGGCAGGGTCTTGAAATCGAAGTGAGATCCACGAGTCTACATACACAGATTGACGTAGTCTCCCATCTCTGTCTACAGGTTGGAGTAATGCTTTCGAGTTGCTGCGGGTGTTGAAGCACGAGGCGTCTCGCTGCCGAGAGCTTGCTTTCACCAGACATTTTAGAATTCATTTGGCCTTCATTTGACCTTCAGGCCTCCTTAGATCTGTGCTGCTAGCCGAGTCTATATGATACCAGAAGCTGTGAACAGCGAACGATGATGAACGTCGTGCTGTTGTGCAAGATTTTTCAGGGTTTCTATGATCAGCTTCACTGCAACTCTGCGGTGGCAAGCTGCGCCCCCAATCTTTGGGCTTGGGAACTCAGAAATGGAGACGAATGCGACGGGCTCTGAGGTGACTTTAGCATTGGTATGCATTGGTATCCAACTGCTGCATATTGAGGATTGGGCGATTGCTTTGCTCAACCTGAAGCGACAAGATGGTCTGCAGGCACTGGATGCGCATTGGTAAGAATGACTTGGAATATCTTGGATTTTTTTTGCCTCTATCACTGCCTATCACCAAATTGCTTGTGGTTCTCCCATTGTGTTTGGTCTTGGGACTTTGTGGAGGATGAGGGTGTTCACCTTGCAACTGGTTGTGCTTGTAGGCAGATGTGGTTGCTTTGAATTCTGCTATCAGCACCGTCCCTAAGTAGGCGGCTCCAAAGGTAGAGGTTTGGGTTTGCCTGACTTTCTTTGGTTGCTTTGAATTTTCTGAGCTTGATGGAAAAGGGTTCTGGGCGTGCTGTGTCATACCTGAGGCACCTGTGCAAACAAAGAAGATGGAAGAGGCGGCGTTTGGGAGCGTGTTTCTCAGATAACATTCTCCTGTGATCTCCTGGGGCCTGGGGCCATCTTGGGACCATCTTGGGACCATCTTGGAACGTGCTCGAAGCGTATTCTTTGTGGTCTTTGATTCCGTATCTGAGGCATGCTTTGCTGCTCCTCCACGGGGCCACCGCACTGGGTGCGGATCTATTTTTTTTTTTGGGTATAGTTTTGGTTCATATGTAATTAGTACATAAATAGGTAGCTATGTATCTATAAGATCTATAAGCACCCAAGTTTCTGTTGAGGCATTGACCCAGATATTATCAGCAGTGCCGGCATGTTTGGTGTGTCGACTGTAGCGGTAGCATTCACTGCTATGACATGTTGCTACGATGTGAATGCGACATCAGCTGTTGAGAGTGCTCCACAAAGGGTTCTTTTCTGGGCGATTCTCTGCTGCTGGCTCAAAGCAGATTGAAGACATTGAGTCTGAAGTAGATCCACAGGAGTTTTATAAAGAATTAGGGTTGAGAAGACAACTCTAGACCCTAGACTAGCTCACATTGCAACACATGAAAAGCAAAGAGCCATGGAAAGGATGAGCGCTCCTGCTGGATCTTCGCATTGGCCAGCTGTGACATGATTACATGCCTAGAATATCCTAGAAAGATAGCCACAAAATATCAGATGAGCAAACCCGAACAGTTGCGGCGCCTAATGGTGGTGAAGCACAGGCAGGTCTTGGGGCATGCTGCGCGTGGTCTCTTTCACCGGCGAGCATATTTTTGAAGCCGGCCCAGAGCTGCTTGGCTGAAACTAGCTGCTATTTTATCATTAGTTAACGATGTTTTTCCTTATCTTGCTGCTGCTGCGCTTTGACAGTGGGGTTACGATGCAGATCAATGCAGGGATGCGGAGATTCTGGCGACGGAGAGCTTGGCACCATTCATTAAGCGACAAGTTCAAAAGAAGAGGCCTTGCAGCGCGTCAAGTATCCTCTCAGAAATTCTGCTTTGTGAGAGCGGTACAGACTATGCAGTAATTGGAAAGCATTTGAAATCATTCTGCTTGCAAAGTTCACAGGTAGTTTCGAAGACTAATGTGATGAATTATATGAAGGCCACGACAAGACCAGGTCCATGATCTAGGGCAGGAATGAGATGGCATTTGCTGCGTCCACACGTTGCCAAGCGTCAGGAATGTATCAATCTTTTGCCAACGACTGCTCCATCATGATCACATCATTACAGATGGTGATATGTGGCAAGATTTGGGCCGGCCCCAGGCTCGAACACGCAAAGAACATGGAATCACGTGCTTTGTCTGCTGCAACTCCCAATTGTGACTCCACAAATACGATCGTCGAATCTTGTCGAAAGCTTCTATAAGCTTCTACTATGTTTTAAGATCCTTTTTGGATCTTTTTGGCCTTTTCGATTGTAGCTTGCCAGGTGAGAGTCTCGATAGGTAACCAGTGATGCACTCGAACTTGGCAGGAGATCCAAATAATGTTTGCCCACTACGTGAACGATTACGCTGATCAACTCTTGGGAGCAGCATACGCGGGAAACGAAGAAGTTGCTCGCGAGGCCGGAGTGCAAAGGATGGTTGAGATTCAGACTTGAAAGGATGTGGATGTGAAATGATGTGAAATGAATCAAACAAATTGAAATCCCGTGAAAAAGGCGGAAAGTGATGAAGCTCCCTCCAAATCCCAAATGCCAGTTTGCCCACTGACTCCTTGGAACAAAACTGGGCGCGGACTACATGTACAGGAATGTTGAGTCTACCGTTTTCCAGAACCCATATGATTTATACATGTCCACTGCTCGAGTTGGACCAAAGGAAATTTCGATAGTTTTTGAGTATTTCCTATCATTGATCTGTGACAAATTGGTCCTGCAGGTGCTTTGTCAGCTGCAGGACCCCAATTGCTTGGATTCTCAGAAGGAGTCCCCTTTGTGGAAAGCCTGTGCAGCTGGTCATGTGAGCTGCTTGATGGCCGTGATGCTTTGCAGGACTCATTCTAAGTGTAGACAGTACATACATACCTACCTACATACATATCATATCAAATCATATCACATCACATCATATCACATCACATCACATACATACACATATAATCACACACACATAATCACACACATAATCACACACACACACATATATATAATTATATGTACTGTATATAATACACCCCACGTCGAAGTTTTTGTTACAGAATCTGAGACCTCAAGGCCGGTACAGAATGGTTTTTGGCAGCCGTCTAGTTTGTAAGGGGCTATGGTAGTACTGTTGTACATCTAGCTTTGGATCCATCCGGTTTGCAGGAGCTATGGTAGTACTGTTATGCATCTAATTTTGAATCCATCCAATTTGTAATGGTTACTGATACTGATTTGCCCCGTTAAACCCCTTACAAAATGATCGGGCATGGGGGGGTGGCAAATCCCAAGAACGGACACAAAACAGGTGGCGAGGGTAGTATATCCTTACAATATGCCTCAACCCAAGGTCAACAACGGTTGCAAAATGGTAGGCCCCAAGACAAGGCCAAACTATGTTTCGGAGTGTTGGGAGAGAAAACCCATGAAAACACCCTATGGAACCCGTGTGAAGTTAAATTGCGGGTTCGACGGGTACCTTATTGGGTTCCATGGAGGTCTGGGGGGAGAGATGACCGCATCGCAAGGATCCTTATGATGCGGTGTTTTGGGATCTTTTCTTTGGGTGTCAGTTGGGCCATTTGGGGTCTATGTCTGTCAGAGTCTATGTTGGCTTAAGTTGGACGATGCGGTGGCTGTGCTGGGCCTATGCTGGGCCATTTGGAGGCTATTCGCATCATAAGGATCCTTCTAGAACAAACCGGGAACTAGCAAGTAGATGGCTCTGAGCAACAGCGGGACAAAAGGAATCGATCGAGCGGAGATCAGGATTGTGGTCGAGTGGACTCAGGTTGGTTCGAGGCTGAGATTTGATGGCCCCCCATGCCCGATCATTCTGCAAGGGCACACTTCGGTCGAACGGATGCGAACGGATCCTGTCAAGCAACAAAGGGTAGTACAGCAAGAGCGTTATATAAGTTATAAGAATGTTGGTTGCCGATGGCCAGGGTCTTTCAATTTCTCATCGGAAAGGCCCCATGTATGTCAGTATTTGTGTGCAATTATTCGGTCGAGGGTCCCTTAATTTCTTAGCAATTTCTTAATGTAGCATTTCGCAAGCAGTCAGATTTGAAGATGTAAGAGCGGGGTTGCCTCTGCGCAGCTCCTTTCGTGAGTTTGACTCCGCCATCCTTGCGCCGCTTCCCAGTGGCTCCTGGGCACAAAGGAACAGTAACCCAGTCTCCTCTACAGAAAGAAAGCTCTTACAAACCCTTACATGATTAAGGAATTGAGGGGCTGGATTTCTTAGTTATGTATTGAGTTGAACCCTTACCCGGTGACGTCTCTTCTACACAAGGCTCTTAAAAACGCTTCAGGGCTCAATTCAATACATAACTAAGAAATCCAGCCCCTCAATTTCTTAACCATGTAAGGGCCCGGTGGCAACAAGGCAGCACAGGCAAGGCAAGGCAAGGCAAGGCAAGGCAAGGCAAGCCAAGGCAACACGAGCCAAGGGTACAGATGACCTGCAGTGAGTCTGGCAGGTGTCTGGCTGAAGCTGTTGTCAGCAAATTTGGTGAGCGAGTAGCGCCTCAACTCTGGGGTGGTCCTGCCCCCTTGCTTGTCATTCCCAACCATGTCATGTTTGTGCAAGGTTCATTTTGGCGGGTATTGGGTTGCAAGGGAGGCTAGCTGCATTTCCCGCTCCAAATAGAATCTTTATAAACCCTTTCATGGTTAAGAAAATTGAGCAGGGGCGCGAAGAACCTTTATGTGTATATATAAATATATATATATATTTTTAATATATAAATATATATATATATATAAATATATATATATATATATATATGATAGGATATATAAATATCATCATATATCTTTGATAGGACATATAAATAAAACAATATATATATATGATACCAACAGAATAATAATACCAATAATAGTAATAATTGTAATAGTAATATTAATAACAATAATAATAATAATATTAATAATATATATATACATATGTTTTAAATAAATAAATAAATATATATATATATATATATATCTATATACACATGCACTTACATATATGCATACATATGCATTATGGACATGCAATATGGGTTGACAGGGAAACATGATTGAGAATGACCAGCTACGAATGTCATTGCGACATGTGGGACGGGTAATGAATGTCGAATTGTCATTTGTCATTCAAGAATTCTCGTTGTGGTTACCGTAGTTTGCCTTTTGTTTCCTCAGTTTCCCTTCCTATGAACATTTATGAACTATGTCGAGGCTTGGCTCAACTACTCCATTCAGCAGATGCAGATCTTGAGAGTCGCGACCCTTAGAGTCGAATTGCCAGCGCCATTTTCGTTTTTCCAGGGTCAGCCCAATTTCCGTCACATTTCTTGAAGCGTAGGGCGTAGGGGCCCCTATGAAAAAACCTAAAATTACCTGATATCTACTGAATCCTACTGAATCACCGTGCATCCCCTGGCGCCCTGCACCTGCTTTAGCTGACATTGCCACTTAGAGATGGCTGGATTCAGGATGTGCACGGGAAAACGCCACTGGCTGCCGCTGCAGCCAACAACCACCTGGAAGTCACTCATTGCTTGGTCCATGCTGGGTCCGATGTCAACGCTTTAGACCATGAACGCCTCTCGCCATTGCTATGGGCCACGCAGAATGGCCACTTGCAGGTTATGCGGTCACTGATCGATGCAAAGGCTGACAAGGATGCAACGAATGACCGGCAGGAAACCCCTTTGTTTCTGGTTGCAAGCAATGGCTATGCGACCGCAGTGCGAGTGCTTACTGAAGCAGGTGCTGACAAAGAAAAAGCAGACGAATGCAACTACACGCCATTGCCACTCGATTATGATGGCCAGCAAAGATACCCATCGTGCTAACAATTCATCCTTCATGAGTTGGCCAAGACCGATGCCACTGTCTAGATATTCTACCATAACAATTAACAACATGAATTATTTTAAAATTCTTTCCCCCCAAGACATACAACACATTCATGTCATGTGTGTCTTATGATGAATTTTTGCCGGCCATTTGAGGCATATTGCAGCAGAGAATGGGCATTTGGAAGCTGTTCATGTGCTCATTGAAGCTGGTGCCAGCATAAATTCTTGCACGCGATCTGGAGCCACTCCTTTGTTTGTGTCGGCCAAGCGAGGCCACCTGAAGGCTGGGATCGCCAAATCGAGTGAAAGTATGTGAAAGTATGTGAACGTATGTGAAAGTGAGCGTATGATGCAAGTGTTTAAAAATGTTTAAAAAGATGTAAAGAGACAAAACCACAACACCAGAGTAAAAAATGATAAAACTCGGTAAGTATACGAGTTACTATATACGAGTTATACGAGCCAAAAGATGATAAAGATGTCAAGGGCAATGGTGAAAGTTCAGTGGGAGTCACCTCTTCGGCAGTCCTTAAATCGTCCCAGAGGTGGTCAGCCTTCTGGTGGAATCTGGGGCGGAGAAAGACCAGCCTGCCATGGAGGGTGTCACTCCTCTCTTTGCTGCAGCCTTCTCTGCTCGTTTTGAGGTGGCACGATTCTTGGTTCAGGCCAAACGGACGAGTCGAGATCAAACCACTTGCCCACCTGTTCACTGGTAGATAGCATCATTATATATTGTACATATTATACGCATAAGATCAATTAAGATCATACAAGTTATAAGTGTGGTATAGTGCAGTATCAGGCACTTCTCGAAACAGAATCGTTTGAAGCAAAATCCTCGGAGCTTCTCTGGTTGCAGCAAGAAGTGCCAGCTTGGCTGCAGGCTGGAGCTGATCGGAGCCGCCGACCAAGCCCTAACTTCGACCTTCAAACTCTTTGGTCCGGTGACATTTGACCAATGTTGACCAATGTTGACCTGTTCACCATGCTAAATCTTAATCTGTTTCAATTGTTTTGCCCTCTGAACCTTTAGTTGGCTATCGCAATCTGTTTGCGACGCTGCCACGTAGAATTTTCGCTTTTCGGCCAAGCTCAAAGAGCACTCCTGACACACGACAGTGTCACGTCCTGGCGTCTCGCGCATTTTGAGAAAAACACGTGACATTGCTTTGGCTCAATCCTCATGGACGCTACGTACGGTGCTGCCCTGATGTATTTTCAAACAATTGTTTGTTCTACAAATTGCGCCATGCACCCCGTCTTGGTTGGTTCCCAAATTAATTTTTGGCAATGAAAATGGAGGAATACGTTTTCTGAGTAACATCCAAACTTTTGATGAGGCATGGTTTCTGTAGCTCTATATAGAGTCACCGATGCTTTCTGATCTCTTTTGCGTTTACTGTGAAATGCGAAACTGCCTCATGCGATACATGGCATGGGGCAGTCTGATAGCCAGGCTTCAATGCAGCCATGTCAGCATGTGCACGCGAAGAACCAGAGCTAGTTCTGCTCCTCCTACGTCAGCCGGTTGCCTGGGCTTAATGACCTGACAATCTGCGCTGGACTCCATCATGCTTTGCATACTCCAGATGCGCTCCGCTACTTCTACTCACAGGCTTTCTCGTGGACGATTGCAACCAGATGCGGGGGACCCGTAGAGTTGGTTTGCAGTCCCATCGTATATGCGCCACATCTCTTGGCACATCTTGGCACCCTTTGTCTTTTGATGCGCTTGTTAGACGGGGATACTGGGAGGCAGGGAAGACAGAAATTCTGCTGCGACCTGGATAGGGCGAACTCGCCGTGCTCTCTGAGGTTGTGACATTCAGCTCGCTGATGGCAGCCTCAGCTGCGTTCGCCTCCTCAGATGCTGCAGAGGGCTGCATTGCCACAAGGTCACCATGATTCCAGCCTCGCCTCTCTGAAAGTAAGGTTGAAATTGTGGCACCAAAGTATGAAGCTGCTGCCCGTGACTTAACCTGCCCAGGTTTGCATGCTACTGATTTACTAAAAGATGCCAACAGAATCTAAAAGAAACGCGCTTAGGCCCTTCAAAAACAGTTCAAAATGAAAAGCACGCATTTCGGAAATGGTCTCGCAATTTTATGCGTTCTTGATCTTGACTCAAGCATGAACTGCGCGGACAAGCCGGCTTGAAGCGGTAACCCGCCAAGAAAGACACAGAAATCTAACGAAGTCTGCCTCAGACGGCCCTAGCCCACTGATGAAGCTGGGGCATAAAGTGGGTAGGTGTGGGCGGAGCCGTTTTGTGAATTATCATTGCACTGCGAAGATGCCTGAACTTCGCTTCTTGTGTTTGCATTCCATGAAGCTTCCTCAAACAATATATATATAACAATAAAGTCAGGTTTAAAAACATGCACGTTCCCTAGCTACAAAAAGGCTACAAACCATTGTAAAGTAAATTCAAAAGACGCCTCAGTTTGCTGTGACTCGCCTCTATAGTACTACAGGCCTAAGTCTTCGTCCGGGGTTCTGACCCGGGTTGCAGATTAAAACGGGTTGATTCGGATTGGGGCAAAGCCAGCTTTAGGGTTACTGTAGTTTTTTTTTTGAGCGCCCACATTTTGAATAGTTCTGAAGTCACTGTCTAGAGCCGGATTGTGAGGAAGGTGATGCAGAGACGGAGCATTCAAAGCAATGCCACAGACCCAGTCAGTGGACAGACTTGGAAGCTGCGACCGCACCACTGCTTCACAAGGACAATCAAGGACACCTATGGACACCTAGATTTCCGATTTATTGCCCCAAGATTGCCCAAGTTGGTCCAGGCATATACCTATGCCAAAGCTGCATCTGCATGTGACAAGCTTAGTTGTGTGATGTTGTGTGCTGGCTGGGATTTATTGAACGTATTACGAAGTACTATGTATTACTGCAGTTGTCAATTTTGCGATGTATTGATATGTCAGGATGTATCGGAGATGGATTTTTGGATGTTCTTTGTGCATTTGGGCAGTGTCAGGCCTTCACTGGCAGCAAGCCATAGACTTGGCAGTGAATTTGAAGGCAAGAAGCGCAAGGGTTCTCCGTTCATCGGATCCTCCGCCTGTTTTTTAAAGCGCCTTTTTAGAGCGCCTACGAGATCGGATCTCGTAAGGATCCTGGGATCCGGGGCCTTGACCAGGCCTTTGCCATTCGTGCCAGGCACAAGCCTTGTCGATGGAGTGCATGCTGGTGTCTTTGACGGGAGCATGTGAGGCCTGGCCCATTTTATAGCCGAGCACAGCTCGAATGGACTTCGTCTTTCTGCCGGTGGCGTTTGATATGTTTGATTTTCTCATGATTTTCTCATTCCATGTGGCTGAGTGTCAGGGAAGTGGCTGGCGCCATGCTTTACAGCTACCCTTTTCAAGCTGGCAGGATCCTTCATTTCCATTTTTCATGTATTGCTCTATTTTCAAAGCTCCGAGAAATTGGTTGACGCTGGATGTCACGCAGACCATTGCAGACCCCAAGATTTCCCAAGGCCCTTGGCGTTGAATGCGGTGGTGACGCTTGCAGGAGGCGAGAGGATGGAGCAAGTTGGAGCACAGAACCAAGACAAACGGAGGAACATGTTGCCTGCTGCCTGCGTTCTTGGGTCCTGAGCAGGCAGTGAAGCTTGGCATGTATCACTTCAAATTCTGGAGGCGCCTGAGTAGGCCCATGAGTCTTGACCATGTTTGTGTGATCTTAAGCAAACTGCATTTATTCTGCGTAGGGCTGGCGCGATTTTAAGTGGCAGGAGTGGAATTTGAATAGGGAGCCGCTGCTGAATTTTGAACCTCCTTCAGGCCTCATGCCAGAATGCGCTGCCTGCAGACATAGTCAGGCTGTTGCAAGATGACTGGACTTTCCAGAGTTTTGGTAGTGGTGATCCAGATCCAGCTAGCTTTTTTTGTGTTCAGCATGCTCGTTTTCAAACTTCATTTCCAGATGTCCGTTGCAGTGACTGAAGAAAGCTAAAGACTGCATAAGACATCATAAGATCGCACTACCAGAGTCTTTCTATAAAGGTATAACGCTGCGATGGGCGGCTGCAGTCGGTGCAAGCAATGGGAAGCAGCGTCGTGAGCTCAGAGCGGGTCATAGCGGGCCAATGCACATCAATGCAATGCCATATCATATCTGCTTCCTGTAGTACCTTAAAATCCTTTAAAATCCGTAATTATCTTTGCGTATTCAATAATGCTGAATGGATTGAATGGTGCCAGAGATTGCAGGCTACACATTTTTGGAGACACGGAGCTACGGCGCTGCAAGAGGCTTAGATGCTGAGTTTGTCCCCGCCAACACGGCTGATGCCATGGTTTCACAATGTTTCACAGCACGCTGTCATGTTTTCGGGTTAAGGCTTGCCGAATGCCAGCACCTCAAGCATCATACACATTCAAAAATTGCGTCATGATCATGATGGGAGCTGCCTAGAGCTGAGGCTGTGACCAAGCTCTCCGCATTGCTTGCATGCCAAGAGCTTAGGATGCCAGAGCATTCTACATCACCATTCCATCCATTCCCACATCTGAACCGGTGTTCTTTTCACTTTCTAGATATTTTTAAATGGCATATTCTGAAGTTAAGGCGGCAATGGTGACTACTGGCAAGGGGTGGGCTGGTTAGCTTGAATTCATCTGAATGCACTTGGTTTTGTTACGCAGCGCCGGATCTTGCTCCTGACAATTCCTGACATACTAACAGGCCCTGTGGCTTCTCTTCGAGGAGAATGCTTACGAGGTTGACAAGCGAAATCAATCAAAGCTTGGGAACGTCTTTGCACCAAAAGAGTCAACACATGTCAAAATATAACAACATGATACAACATGCAAGAATTGTGGGCATTATAAGTGCATGCACGCACACGTAATATATGTGTTTTCACATATTGATACTGCAACTCGATGTTCACCGCGCAGGTTCGCCAGGCTGCCGCCTTTTTTACCGCCGCCGATGCATGTGCAGCTGCTGGGGAGTGGCAGCAAGCTGGGAAGCCCGGTTCAGATGCCAGTCCTTCGTGCGAGAAGGACAACAGTGACTGAAGCACTGCCCAGCATGCCTCAGTGTCATTCTGCATTAACACAAAAAATGCCGAGCACGATCATAGCCCTGCCAATAGGATTTGCTACAGCTAACCCATTTGCACTGCAAGAAATTTGAGGCTGTACCAATAGGGGTTTGATTTGGTCACACGACACAGGACATCAATATATATATATATATATTATACATATATTTTTATTTATATATATATAATATTCAAATCCAATAGGATTAGCTGCCGAGAATTTGTTTGTATTAACTTGTGCCCTTTAAAATCATCGCTGTGCGCAATGCTTCGGCTACTTTTAACTAAATCTCCAATTATAGATGAAACAGGCTGTGCCATGGTGATTCTTCTTCCCTGATGTGACTTTCCATGACTTCCCACTACCTGATGTGACTTTTCTGTATCGCCGCCGTGCCATGGGGATGATGTGATATGATGTGACTTTTCCCGCCTGATGTGACTTAAGTACGGTGTTTGCATATATTATTTGAATATATATATATATATATTTGTACAATTATTGATTTATATAATCATTCATTTAATCATGGTTACATATGGTTACCCAGGTCGGGCGGTTTCCTTCAGGCGCAGTAGGTTGCCAGCTTTCGGTCGTCGGCCAAGGCTTTGGAGGTGGTGGCATCCTTGGATGAACGGAGGAGAAAACATGAGAAAACTGATAGACAACTGATAGAAAAGGATACTGTAGAAATTTCCATAGAACACATAAACACATAAGGAAACACGAGAAAAGAATAAAAAAGACATAAGGATACATAAGGAACATTAAGGAACCGTGATGGAGGTGATGGAGATTGAGATTGCTCTGCCAAGATGTGCTTAGACACCGCTGAGCTTTTGGTGTCTATCTGCCCCAGTCCCATGACGAGTCAGGTCAGAGCAATGCTCCAAGCTGGATCCGAGTCAACGGAGACTTTCAATGCTCAGCTCACAGCCACGTTTCAATGTCGCAGTGTGCGGATCATTGCGGTGATCGAAATTGTGCTAACTTGAAGCCTCAGAGCCTCAGGCTGCAATGAGTGCATGCGAGAAGGTGGGTCTGTGGTTATTCGCAGCTTCATGTCCCGCAGAAAACCTGGATGTAAACAAAGCCAAACAGATCACAAGGATTTATCATGATTTATGTGCTAAGAAAATAGATACAGTAAGTCTAGTCAGTCCTCAAGCATGTCGTGCGCGTTTTTAAAGAGATATTGGGCCCTTTCGCAAATACATACGCAGACGGAGCCGCTTGTAGCTGGACAACTGAGCTGTGACACACGACTTAAGCAGTTTCATCGCAGTAAGTCAGCACGTTATGTTTCTCCTCCTTGAAGGCAAGGCAGTGGGAACGTGCTTTGGCATTGCTTCACCTTCTATGCCTCTGACCTAGTAGAGTAGAGGCTGCACTGCACAGTTTGAGGCAGACGTGTGCTATTGCTTGTGGCAGTAAGGTGAAGCTGACCTGCCCCCGAGCAGTACGTCCTTCAACATAGCAATCAGTGCCTGCGACAAGGCCTTTGCAAGACGCGAAAGAAATATTGAGGGACGCATGGCAAGTGTCCGTCAAACTTCTGCCGGATGTTATGATATGTTATGATATCTTATGATATGTTATGATATTATATACTGTTACTGTTACTGTCTGTTGCTCCTGGAAAATCTTGGGTACAGAGTGGAGCTGACAGGAGGGGCAATGGCAGCGAGCCTTGTACCTGTGAAACTCTCAGCTTCTCGCAGTTGGATGTCGCCGACTGGATGTCCACGTTCTACGCGAACAGAGTTCAACATATACCCTCTGGTAAACTAACATAATTATGGAAAATCACAATTTTTAATGGGAAAATCCACTATAAATGGTCATTTTCAATAGCTACGTTTTATTACCAGAGGGTATACAGTTTTTAGAATTATATGCATGAGAAGAGAACACTCACAGGCTGATGTTTGAACACAGTTTGGATGTGGCCGTCAAGAGTTTGATAGAGACAAAGACAATAGACCCAAATCCCTTGAAGGTTGTCAGTTCTCCAGTGCCGAAGCGATGGAGATGGTAGTTTCTGTGGCATAGAGGTGCGGTTCAAGCAGCGCAAGAGCAGCATGATATACCTGAATAATTAAGCCTGAATACACAGGATAAAAAAGCTATGAAAAGCATTGAAACCGTATAACGAGTGAATCTTTTACACTGGTTCTGGACTTCGGCCGTGCTCCCGACCAGGCCACCGTGGTGAGCTTCAGCACAGTTGTCAATGCTTGTGGCAGGGCCAGCCGTTGGCAAGGCGCAGCAGGTGGAACTCTCGGAATTTCAAAAAAACTCCTTTGAAACATTTGGGAGACGATCGCAAATGCAAGTCTAAGTCAGAATTATGAAAGGGCATGTGTATTTCGGCATCCGCGATTGTAAAACCCTGCATCGCGATTGTTCCGCGATTGGTTCGCGATTGAGAGAATCGGCCATTGTAAGAAGAGAATTCAATATTATATATGGCATGATAATTATACACTATATGTTACATTTCAGCCTTATATTATCTTATATTGTAATTATTCATAATTATTCGGTTTGCCTAGACACCGTGTTCAATAGTGATAGCCAATAGCCAAGAAGAATCAGAACAACAAAGTTCAAAGTCTAACAACCCAGATCAATTCAATTTTCAAATAATCAATGTCGATGAAATCCGCGATTGGTTCGCGGTTGATCCGCGATTGCCCGGCGATTGTTAAACCCGCCTGAGTAGGCCCTGGCTCACGCCATGTCTCTAAATACTGTGATATGTAGCAATGTTTTGACGATTCTCTGCGCAAAATCGTGTTGGATACGACAGAACCCTCCCGCGATTGACACTGTTGTGATCGCGGTTGATTTGTGGTTGATGGGCGACTGTAGCTGCCCTAGATACCTTTATTATCCTTTATTTTGATCAACACCCATTTGATATCCTTTGTGCTCAGCGACTCGGGTGACTGATGTTCATAATGTTAAGAGATCCTATTTGATTTATGCGCTTTTAATTGCTTTTATATGTGCTTCGCTTTACCACATTACAAACATGCCGTAGAACACTTCAACTCCATTTGTGTCAATCGGGATCACAATATTGTCACAATGGATTTCATGTTTCCTTCCAGGCGAGAACGTAGGATAGCCACACAATTAGCTGTTTCCCTCCTGACCGCAGCTTTGGCTCTAAAGGCCAGGGTCCTGCCAGGTCAGACAAGTGCCTGGAACGATGATGGGCGCAGCTCTTTCACAACCAGCATTCGTATCATCGCCATTGCCATCACCGGCAGTGGCAGCTTCAAGCCGTGCCGTTCCAACTGTCCCTGGCAGCCAGGGAAGATATGGAAGCGGGTCCTTCTCTTCACAAGCTCTTGCTGGTGCATGCCTTGCAAGTGCTGTGCCTGTCTCTCTGAGACTAACCAGGAGTAGCAGAAGATGGAAGAAACAAAAGGGCAGGGTACAATCACTACACGCTTCGTCCAGAGTACAGCGTTTGGCCGCGGCCACTGATGTGCCTGTGGACAGAGAGCGCTACACCGATGCCGCATGGCAAGCGATGCAGGATGCGCCACAGATTGCCCAAAGAAGCCAATCACAATATGTGGAGCCTGAGCATGTGTTCCTGGCCTGCTTGGAGCAGCAAGTTTCAACCACAGGTGGCCTTTGTGCACGCATACTGGAGAAAGTTGGAATTACACAGCAAGCTGCCAAGGACAGAGTCATGGAGCCTTGGCAAAGGCTTTGAGTTGCAGGTTGTTTTACATGGTTTCACTAGCGAGCTTTAGCAGGCATTTTCTGGGCAATTCTGGGCATGAGTTCGGGTGGAGTGAAGATGTTGAACGGTTTGGGCTTTGGGCTTTTGCTTTTGGAAGTGTTCTCAAGGAGTGGAGCAGCAAACAGCCGAGGGTGCGAGCCTCAAGCTACTACAAGAAATGAACAAGTATATCAATATCCCAATGGGAACTGTATGCCAAAGGCACATGATGTACGTGCGTGTGCAAATTGCAAGCATGATGGATCATGAAAGCATGTGACAATCAGATAGATTCTTCCCACGCAGCAGAATCTAGCATGGAAGCATGCAGGAGCTTGGGTGTCGTTCGATGGGTGTGTCGGATGTTCCATGGGCGTTCCATGGGTGTTCCATGGTGCAGTGTAGGTCACATCGCCAGGGAGCTCTATGGGCAATGCCGCAGGAAGGAGCCTCGTGACGATGATTTCTGAAGCTGATGCAGCTACCTGGCAAGCAGAAGCGCAGGAAGCAACTGGAATGCCAATGACATCAACGACTTCTGTGTGTGTGTGTGTCTCTCTCTCTCTCCCTCTCTCTCGCTCTCTCCCCCTCTCTCTCTCCCTCGCTCTCTCTCTCCCTCGCTCTCTCTCTCTCTCCCTCCCTCACTCTCTACAAAGCAAATCAATGCAAACCATGAAACCTTGGAGGC